TCGTAATCCGGTGCTGTTTTAGGCTGGGTTAATCTGGGAGCTAAGGTCATTTTTTAAGAAAGAAATTTGACTTGATGTGGATTCGTACCCGTGACCTTCAGATCTGCAGGCGAGCGTCCAGTCGACGACTATTCAGTTGTTTGCTCAAGTGCCAACATTTTGAAAACGGGGATCGACACGTGCCAACATTTTGAAAACGGGGATTGCCACGAGTCAGAAACTGGAGCTCAAGCATAGAAAGGTCATTATGCAGTACAAATGGCAGTGATACGCAGGCCATTTGTTGGGGCCCCGCGTGCCAGATTGAATAGCCTAATCTCGCTGCTACTCCCGAAACAATAGTACAGTCAAAATTGTTGGATGCGCTAAACACAGACAAAATCTTTATTAGCCACTCCCCCCCCCCTCACCCCCTCCTCCTTTCTAGGATTGCAGGTCTCAAGGTTGAGAATTAAACCGCTACAAATCCTGGAAACCATGTTGTACCAGATAGCCACACAGCACAGTTATATTGAGGCATCGCAAAACTGTTACGATGTAAAAATCCAAAAATGGTGAAACTATGGGGGTGACTGAAGTCAAGCTAATACAATGAATTCCAGAGAAATTTGACTAAAAAGCTCAACAAAATGGGAAAAAGGAAAACGTCGATATCAGAGAGGTGTTCAATATCATTTATGTATCATTAACACTTGCATTTTTTTTATTCCCAGTATTGTGACTATATTTTTTAGCCATCGTTTATTTTATTTTATTTCATTTATTCCGCATCACATTTTTTAAACGTCGCTCACGTCACCCCTTAGAGATCTACATACTCTCCATTCCTCTTTTGTGTAGTCCACTTGTGTTTGAAAAAGGCTGCCTGACCGAAACGTTACGTTGTGTTGTTTTGTGCACGTTTTCCCTTTTCCCATTTTGTTGAGCTTTTTAGTCAAATTTCTCTGGAATTCATTGTTACGATGTAGCATACACTCCAGTGTGGGTAGGTCAAATTTCTGCACAGGCAATGACTGAAAAGAGAGCCGCTATGAAAAATAATAAAGAGACAAATGAACATTTCAATCATACAAAAAAAAAAAAAAAATAAAAAGACAAAAACCTCATCAAAAAAAAAAAAAAAAAAAAACCAACAACAACAATAAATGCACTATGAAATGTATTTAGTACTTCTTGTTATTGACGAGACTGCATTCACACCTTTTAACGTCGTAACAAAGGGGCTGCGTGGTCTCGACCCATGGTGACCGCCACGAATGCTAGAGGTCCCGGGTACAGGCTGGGATTTTTTCAAGTGGACTTCTAGTAATTTCCCCTGGTCTCTGGGTAGTGAGATCGGACGACAGTGTGTATTGTTGCGCACGTTAAAAAATCCCATGGCAGTTTTAAATCGAAAAAGAGAAGCGCTGTCCGGGCAAAATTTTAAGTTAAAAATCAACCCAAAATATTTTAGGATCCTCGCCGGTGTTACGGAGCCCGTGCACTGAGCTGAGCTTTTTCGGACTCGACCTGAGTAAGAAGTAGAACAGAGCACTTATGGGTTACCACACTTGTGCCACGATGTTGATCCGTTGTTCAAACCTTAAACGTCATAACGACACCAGAAGATGGCGCTATATTGGACACATGCTGACAAGAAACGGACAGAGGGGGAAACAAAAAGGATCGAGGAAGCCTGGAATAGAGTCTAAAACGATCGATGATACTGGATTCCATCCCCATTGTTAAGACTGCGAGTGACAGAGCGGTTGGACAGATGGACTATCTGAGGCCATAAATATCAGCATCTACCAAGCAAATACCGAGGCTCTCACTTGATGCCTTTTAAAAACCTGGCACTGAGAGGCAGAACAGGACTGGGTAAAGAGTAGGAGGAGGAGGAGAAGAAGAAGAAGTAGTAGTAGTAGTAGTAGTAGTAGTAGTAGTAGTAGTAGTAGTAGTAGTAGTAGTAGTAGTAGTAGTAGTAGAAAAGAAGAAGACGAAGAAATAACGGAAGAGGTGAAAAGACTGGGAGCCCGATGTGACATATAATGGTACAACAGGTCAATCAAAATACAAGGACAACGTAAAGAGATTGACGAAAATCAATCTCATAGAGTGTACTGCCGTAACAAATGACCGAGCATGTTAGAGAAATACTGCAGCCACTTTCTTGCGGAGACGACACCTTATTAAATAAACTGTCAGAGAAGCGGAAACTAGACTAGGACACATTAGTGCGCAAGCGCGTTTCTCATAACAACGACAAACAACATGGCGGACTTGGCGCATCAAATGAATTATTGACTAATGTGTGAGATCGGTGGCCTGCAGAGCTGTAATTAGCAACAACAAAAGGAGCTGATCTGTTTGAATAATTGATTACATATATTAGCTCTTGAAACTGAATCTGCGCATGTGATGTAAGACTGCAATAAGTTTTGTCTTTTGTTTGTTAAACGCGCATTGTAAAGAAAGACAGTAAAAAAATATGCTTAAAATATATCAGATAGTTAGTGTGTTGGAGTTAGTTTTCTGGTGGGAGGCAAAAATAAACATTCTTAACATGCTGCAAAGTCCATGGCGACAGTACTAGCCATGCGGCCCTTAAACCCCCGTTGTCATAGCCCCCTGTCTACACTGCTTTAAAAAAGGTTTGAAGTTTTGAACAACGGATCAACATCATGGCACACGGGTAGTAATCCATAAGTGCTCCGTTCTTTCTTCTAACTCAAGTCTGAGACCGAAGAAGCCCAGCACAGTGCACAGGCTCTGTAGCACTGGCGAGGATCCTGAAATACTTTGGGTAGATTTTAACTCTAAATTTTGCCTGGGCAGCGCCGTTAGGCTACTCTTTTCGATTTCCAACTGTCAAAGGATTTTTTACGTGCACAACAATGCACACGAGTGTCCGATCTCACTACCCAGAGACCAGGGGGTAATTACTAGAAGTCCAAGTCCATGTGAACTAAATCCCAGCCCTTACCTTAGATTGAACCCGGAACATGTAGCACTCAAGGCGGACACCATACCTTAAGACCAGGCAGCCTCCCCCCCCCCCCCCCCCAACCCCGGACAGTAGTGGCAGTTTAATTTTTAAATAGTATTTCTGAAAAGAGTAACCTATGGAGCAGGACTGTTTTTCACATCTTTTGAGTAGTTTGATGTTGGGTCTATAATGTCAAACTATAAATGTGAAGACAACCAGGCATTCAATAGTGATATAGTCAATATTATCAGCACTTTTACTTATCAGGACATTTTCCTGTACCAGTTTTAGGCTTGGCCAACCTGAGAGCCCAGACTAATTTTGAAAATGGAAAAAAAAAAAAAACTTGGCGTAGATTTAAACCTAAAGTTTACAGGTCGACAGGCATGTAGGCTAAAAACACAGTGCATATGGCCACTAGAGTAGCCAGATCTCTTTGACATGCTTTGACCAAATGTAAAATGAAAGAAAACAAAATGTACTCACTGTTTGTGTAGCACAGCTCTCTTCTCCGTTGCATATGTTGTTGTCACACCCAGGTTCGTCTTTAGGTTTGCTACAGGAGGAGTCGATTGGAAGATTATTGACGAGTGGAGACAAATGGTGATGATGATGATTATGTCTTACTATCTGCATGCTTCTCACGTGGCTCTGATGCTTGTATATAAAGGTGTCTGGAAACAACTGTTCTTGTCTATACTGTCTTTATTGTTATGCTTCAGTAATGACACAAACAATATCAATAATATTCTAAAAGGAACTATGTTCTCTCTAAGGTTATGTACTCGTAGATTCGCGTTGTGTTCTTCATCTCTAGTTACTTTGGTTCTAGTGTCTCTAACTGCCACCTGGCTTCTAGTGCGTTTGGTACTAATGGCTTGATCATCGACTCTAACATCTCTATAGTGTTCCTAATGTGTCTCTGTTAACCATGGATCAACGTATCTTTTATGTCGTCTTTGTAACTCAATGTCTTGTTTCATGTCTGCTCTCTAGTGGCTGTTTTCAAAGCTCAATATAACTGGCTCCTCTCCTTCTAGTGTTGAGTTGGCATCTCCACAACTGCGAGGATCATCGAGACTAGTCGCTCGTCCTCTGAGTCTCAACGACTGAAGGCATTCTTTGAGTTAAGCTGACATCTCTACAAGTGAAGGTGCTTTGAGGGTCGATATGACTGGTCCCTTCTCTCTTGAGTCTTGTGGACTGAAGAATTGCTAAGGTGCTTTGTTACTCGTTATTTATACTTGGATGCTGGAATGTTAGTTATTTGTTTTCTTCTCGCTTTTTCTGCTTCTAGAATATTCTAGTACGTCTCAACTTGTTTACTATGTATGTTCTCACGTGGGATTTTCTATTTATACCTCAATTGCATTGGATTTAATCATCCTAATCTACGCAAATATGGTAGTTAAATTGACAGCTGGCTTCAATAGACTCCTACAAAACAAGTGCTACTATGTTCTCTCTGAAAGGGCAAGGCCAACAATGACGTGAAATACTATTTACAAAATATTTTTTTCAAGACTTGTTGACTTTCTTTCCCCTCAAGCGATTTGCAATATTCTATCTCCTAACGAACAAGCTATGTCTTTACTCTGTTACATTTGTGGATTCACAAAGAGGATCTCATAACACACTATGTGTTCCTTAGGACTGAATTATTTAATTGTATTTACATGATTAATAACAAGCTATGTCTTTACTCTGTTACATTTGTGGATTCACAAAGAGGATCTCATAACACACTATGTGTTCCTTAGGACTGAATTATTTAATTGTATTTACATGATTAATAACATTTTTTTAAAATAACAGATGCAATACTATCTGTCCATCTTGCTGTCGTTATATTCACATGTGTAAACCCACATGTATGCACACATGCCAGCCCACAGATACACACACACACACACACACACACCGTCACCACACACATAAATTACTTATTTTATGTAAACCTGTTTATTGCTCTGTGTTGACTACACTTATTTAAGTGAATTTGTACATGATATATTTATTTTTACAGATTTTAATGATGAGTGATAATATAAGTCAAGGTAAAACAAGTGACAGTGAGCCGGAGGAGGAGTCTGTAGAAGATGAAGCAGAAGAACTGGAGGATGAAATATCCTGGCATGAAGATGAATCAAAAGAAGAAGATTTACTAGAATCTGAACTGACTGAGGATGAGGATAATGTTGAAGATGAGAAACCAACTATTCAGTTGCTGCATTATGTTGAAGAAGACCAGGTGGTAATTTCTGCATTACCCCCGCATATTTTAAAACAGGAGGGAAATCAGCTTGAAGTGTCATCTAGCCCTGCCTTTCAGAGTCTTGATACGGTATGGCATTTGTTTCTTGCAGTTACCCTTGCTGGGACAGTGTTTTTCATTGAATTATTTATATTATTTCAGTATAATAATGCCACAGTAACTAACCTAATAAAAGTAGATCTCTATATACAACAATAAGAAAGAGATAAACACTGTTCTTTGGCCACATAATGAGAAGAGAGACATTGGAGAACATAGTGACAAATGAAAAGATCAGTGGAAAAGGGGGTAGAGGCAGACCAAGAGTGATAATGCTGGATGGCCTGAAATGATGGCATGGAGGGATATCATTTAGAGAGCTGTTCCAGTCAACCAGAGATCGTGATCTGCGGAGAGATGCATGAGTGCCTACACCAGCTGGCAGGGCACATGATGATGATGATGAGGATGATAATGCTGACATTACTTTCTGTTTCTTCTTCTTCTTTTTCTTCTTCAACTGTCTGAGCCCTTGAGGTTAATTCTTGCAGATATCACCTACATCCATTCATCTCAATGAATGTTCTTCTATGTCCAGATAGTGATTCCAAGTGTTAGTAGGTCTCTGCCTTATAATGATCAACTCCCATTAAACTATTTTGTTTGTCAGTACTTAATGTCAGCAAATGAATTAACACACAATGTAACTAAGATGCTTGTGAAAGGACAGACACACATAGATACAAGACAGTTTTTTAGCCAAAGTGAACACAACAACAGGAATTCTACAGTTTTCAAATAACACATTTGCAAATAAAAATTAATCCATGACAGATAAACAAAACTAAGAAAAACACCAAGTATTAAGAAAACGAAGCTGTGTGTGACTGTGTTACTTCAGTTTTAACATACCTAATTGTGTTATTTCAGTTTTAACATACCTAATTGTGTTACTTCAGTTGTAACATACCTAATTGTGTTACTTCAGTTGTAACATACCTAATTGTGTTACTTCAGTTGTAACATACCTAATTGTGTTATTTCAGTTTTGTAACACATGTGATTGTGTTGTTTTAGTATTTTAACATATGTGACTATTTTTCAGTTTTTTTTTTCTAACTTCCTTTTCTTCTCCTCCTCCTCCTCCTTCACCTTCTGCTCCTTTACTTTCTGCTCCTCCTCCTTCTGCTCCTCCTCCTTTTCCTTCTTACTCCTCCTCCTTCTACTCCACCTTCTTCTTCTTCTTCTTCTTCTTCTTCTTCTTCTTCTTCTTCTTCTTCTTCTTCTTCTTCTTCTTCTTCTTCTTCTTCTTCTTCTTCTTCTTCTTCTTCTTCTTCTTCTTCTTCTTCTCCTTCTTCACCTCCTCCTTCTTCTTCTCCTTATCCTTCTCCTTCTTTTTCTTCTTCTCCTCCTCCTCCTTCTTCTTCATCATCATCATCTTCATCTTGAAGGAGCAGCAGCAAGCCCTATAATATTTTATTTAAACTCATCAACGACGTGGAATGTTTGCGTGTTTGTTATGGCATATTTCTGCGTCATTGAATTTCATTTTTTTCCGAATGAATATGAACATACTGCACATCCTTTTAATCTTTGCCACTTCATGTATGCTGAACACATGTCCTCCTTATACTGTTTATATTACTTCTCATCTTCTCTGCTCACCATTAAAAGTGTTTTGCAGACTTTGTTATCTGTGTCTTTCAGCCCACCGTGTCCATTTTCAATAAGCCCATAATTGGTAACACTTTACAATATGAATGTTGAGGGGCAACGCCCCCTCCCATCCGCACCTTCAAATGGTGCTCAATTTCATGAACCACAGAGGGAATTCACCCAAGTTTCATGTAGTTTTATCCATTTCATGTCCATTTGAGAAGAAAAACGAAATAGGAAAAATTGGAAAAAAACAATGTTATTTGATTTGATTTGATTTGATTCAAGAACCGACATCACAGCACTCAGGGCATTCCCATAAGTGCTCCGTCCCCATCTTCAGCAGCCAGGGAAGAGTTCCGATACTAATGGTGCCAGTAGCTTTCTGATTAAACGTCTGTCTTGCCTTTCCTTTGAGCCTCGAGCATCTGCCAGAACCTCTCGTCACCCCCAACTGCATCAATCTCACTAGACTGTGGTGATCCATCTGCTCCTCCAAATTGTACATGCTCTCCCACAAGGCACTAACCACATCTGCCCTATCATGTAGCAGTATTCCACCAAGTTGTGCAGAGCCAGCCAGTCTGTCCGCCTGTTCATTTCCTAACACACCGGCGTGACCCGGTGAAAAAATCCAGACAATACTCCTCACTCGTGTCCTCCGCAGCGAAGCATGCCACTCTGCACGAAGCATACTTGTTCTGATCTTCCTCAGCATGCTTTGTGAATCGGTTACAATCACGATGTGTGTGTGTTGTGTTCTCTAGTCAGCAGAAAGCTGCAGTGACCGCCTCCACCTCCATTCTTAAGCTGGATAAAAATGTTATGAAAGTTAAGTCCTTAAGTACTGGCTCTGGTCTGTATAGGTTAGGTAAAGAAACAAAGGAGCCTTTTTAAGCCAGTGGCTCATCAGATATATGATCTGTCAGTGCTCAGTGGGTGATATGTTCAGCATCGTGCCGGCCACCTTTACTTCCCAAGTCATTACCTGGTAGACGTTTTAAGTTGGGTCAGCCATGAAGCCAAGGTAATATTTGAAAAAGTCTGCCTTGATGCAGATTTTGACCCTAGACCTTCAGACTGGCAAGCATTCTAGCTGCTAGGCCACCATGGTGCCCCTTTTTTGAGTCAAGGTTACCAACAATTAATTCTACAAAGCTGGAGCTCTGATTATTTAATGGTTACCTGTCTTCTCAAATATATTAACCAGTGACTTGTTTTCTCCCCTGGGGACCCCTTAGTGCAGTCGATAAGAAGCTCGCTTTCAAATCCAGCTGCATCTCACTGCAGCCCACGGTCAGTGTTCGAAACCGGGCGGCTCCCGGGGTTCACCCAGCCTCTAGGAAATGGATGATACTCTGGGGTAAATGGAGGAACGTCGCTGCAGCTACAGAGTTACGTGCGAACGGCGACACAGGCGGACAATTCTTATCAGCTGTCCGTACTGGTGGCAGAGCACTTATGGTTTATAACCGTGTGCAATGACACTGGCTCACATCTGCCCACTTTACCTTTACCTTTTGTTTTCTCACCTCACCCAGCTTTTTAAAGAAGGAAAACTTACCGGCACAAAAACAGCCTTTCTGAAAGCGAAATATACTTACCTTCATGAAACTCTCAAGAGGTAAGGTGTGCTTATGTTGTTTTAAAATTATTTTTGTTTTAAAGTATCATTTTTATTAGATTGTTGTGTTTTTCTTCATTCTGTTGTGTTTCCTGTCTTGTCTATCACAGGATTTATCAGTTATTGTGTAACTCTTGTGTCTACAAATATGGCATGAGAAATCATTTCACAGGTAATGGTTGCCACTTTTAGTGAAGAACAGGAAGGAGTAAAGGTCAGGGCTAGAGTTGACAAAAGAAATATTGAAAGCTGTAGATACACTGGGAGCCACAGCAGTGAAGTGGCCAGAAGATCTCCTGCCAGTTTAAATCTACACCAGGCAGATTTTTAAAAAAGATTGACCATGACTGCCAGGTCAACCTAGCCTAAAATAGGTGCCAGAAAATGTCATCATCAGTCATCCTCAGTTCTCGTTATGCCTAGTGGCAAATGAGGCTTCAGAGAGGACTTTCCATGCTTTCCTGTCCTGTGCAATCTTCAGTGCAGTTTTCCATATCAAAGATGCCGCACTCAGGTCACTTTCCATTGTTCGTCTCTATGTTGTTTTTGGGTGCCCTTGTTTTCTCTTTCCCTCTGGTGTCCATGTGAGAGCTGTTTTGGCAGGTATATCAGAAGTCATTCTCATAACGTGGCCAAGCCATTTCCATCTTCTCTTGGGAATCATACTGTCTAAAGTTTCTTGGTTTGTGGCTTGAAGTAGTTTAGTGTTTGAGATTGCATCTGGCCAGAAAATGTCAGAGAAAGAAATATTGGCCAGTATGATGTTGACCACATCCCTTTTTAAGTGCTTGCCTTTGGTGTGTAAATGGTCCTTTCCCTGCTATTACTTTTATAAAAAGGCACAGAAAAAAGCAATGCACCCGGCTGCTGTTCTCACTGCTCACCGAGAGGCAGGACAAGTAGATGAGTCAGGAGACGATGGTGAATCAGCAAATTTGACAAGACTATGAGAACTTTACATCAAAAGATTTGTTGCCAGAAATAAACACTATACAAGCAGCAAAAATTAAAAAATAAATAAAAAACAAAATAGTCAGCCAGCACAGATTGGATGTTGCCAGTTGCTGCCTGCTGATGGAGACACTGAAAATGGAATCTGAGTGCTCGTGGACTTGTCTGATGTGCACTGAGGATGATCGGTCAATGAGCTCACTAACTAAATACATTTTATAGGTACACTGGGAGATAAACCTTCCATATGTCTGCAGTTTACAGTTTTTTATATTGTCTTTTGTGACAGTTTCATCACTTTATCACTACTCTCTGTTCTCCACCATGAGTGCCGATCCTTCATTTCTGAAACTGTCCACTGTTGGACTAAAGGCAAATGTGTAGGTTGTACTCTAAGACCTCCTTTCCATAAAGTTGTGTGTGGAGTTTGAGATTTGTTTTTGGCCAGAAGAGGTCACTGTGACTTTAAAGATCCTGTGCCGTTTTAGACTATTTTGATTATTGCTTATTTTAATGTTATTTTGTTACTTTTCTGTAATTTTTAAAATTATCTTATGTTATATTTTTTGTAAAATTTTTATTTTATAATTGTTATATTATATTTTATTATTATATTTTATGTTACCTTGTTTTGTTAGATTTTATGCTATTATTCCATCTGCTTCTTCTTCTTGTTCCTCATCTTTACATCAGTAAAGTGCTAGGAAATCAAATCTTTTCCTAAATTCACCAGTCACTAGTCACCTGAATTGGTTTTAGTTCTATCCCTATGCACTGCATTGGTGTATGTCAAAGCTCTTAATTCCTTCTCTCCGGTGCATAATTGGCTTGCTTTTGGGCTTACATCTCTTTAAGCAGGCATTCTCAACCTATGGTTGGCGACTCCTTTGGGGTTCATATGACCCTTAAAACCATAGAAAAACACATATTCACTAAAATTATTAAGTAGCAACGAAAATAATGTTATGGTTGGGAGTCCTAAAACATGAGGAATTGTATTAAATGGTTGTGGCAATAGGAAAGTTGAAAACCGCTGTCTTAAAGGGACAGAGTAACTAACTATACCCTCATTTGCCTTTTATCACAAGCTTTGCAGAGTACACTGTTACTATTCTTTGCCTCTTCAGAAAGCTCCATAAAAATGTTTTTCTGTTTTAATCTGAAGTCTGTTTTACTTAGTGAAGTTCTGAAAATTATATAGAGAAAGGGATCATATATATTAGCCAAAAAATATCACAGCAAACGTTATCAAAGAAAGAAGATGGCTTGGACATGTTTGCTGAATGCCTCTTGACACTTTAGCAACCACAGCTGTCCGGTCAGTGGCAGATGAAAAAAATGTATCGGAATTACTTAAGGAAACATAGAGAAGGACAGTATAAAGTAAAACAAAGGCATGCAAACTGATACCATGGGCAGACAAGCAGCAGGGGAGATAATGTGTGACTGCTTTCTGTCAGCAATGATATAAAGAGGATGTAGATTGAATAGGTAGAAAGGAATCAGATATTGGGAAGATGGGAAGGAGGCTCTAAGTATGACATATATGGTTAATTCTATGGATATTTGTTTGCCACAGCACAAGGGAAAGGGAAACTCAGCTGTTACAAGATGCTAAAAATTTTGCAAATGAGCTGGATCGTCAAAGAGTTGAACTTGAAAAGGCAGACAATTTCCCAGATAATTCTAACACAGAAGTCTCCAAGATGAGAGAACAATTGTTGAAGTACTACAATGAACTTGCTCAGACAGAAGAAAGGCAGTACCAACTGGAGTATAAAATTGAAAGGTAAGATTATACAATATGTATATTTCTGGTTATTTGGAATAGTGGCCATCTGAGATGGTTTGGTCATGTCAGACTTGATGTGTGCATGTGAGTCACACATAATTAACCGTCACACCCGGAGAACACTACCAAAATAAATGGATCATGACCTTTTTGGTAGTCCAGAAAAAAATGTCTTTAACCCTTTGGAAACGGAGCCTTATTTGGAGTTTCAATGCCAAGAAGGCGGAGCCTTCAGGAGGGGATTCTCTTAATTTACACACACAAAATTATAAAAAATAAAGTGTTTAATTAACATATACTAAACTAAATATTTTTGTAGGAAATTGATTGAACTAACACATTCTTTATGAATCACACTGACCTCTCAACATTTAATCAAATTAGCTATTGAATTTGCATATTTATTCATACATTTTCTTCTTATTTCATAGGACAAACAAAACTAAATTTAACAATTTGGTAAAATTTTCTGACGAATGAAGCCTGAACAAGTCTCAACACTTGTGTTTTGGGAAGTAAAGCCCATCTAGGCCCTCCAGACACCTCTGGCACATGGTTCTACTCCTTTTCCTGCCTTTGCTATGATGCAAAAGTCCATTTCAGCATTGTTGGATACGCGTAACACATTAAAAAAGTTAATGTATAATTGCAGAACACAAGAAACTTTCACCAAAGCCACCAGTGAATAGCCCACATGTGTAGGAAATGCGAGAAGCAGTCTGATTGGCTGGTACAAAAATCTGCCAGCCAATCTCAAGGCTTGTATTATCAGGCCGACGATCAGCGCAGCTGTTTTGTGTGTGTGCCTATTTTGCTATTTGGTCGATAGATTAGCCGATTAATCTCCAAAGGGTAAAAAAAAACCCAGGTCTTTCCAGATCACTAGGCTAATAAATTCATTAAATATTTATTTATCTACACGCTTTAATTCCCCCGCCCCACCCTCCCATCCTTACTTCCTAAACATTTGTGCAGGTGTAAAAACAGATGACAGCATCCCATCCTTACTTCCTAAACATTTGTGCAGGTGTAAAAACAGATGACAGCATTAACTATGTGTCTCATAAACAAATCACTAAATACAATGTTTTTAAAAAAACTCTTACTGTCTTCACAAAAGACCTCATTTTCAGTAGATGCAATTTGGAAAATTTTCAGGGAATTAAATTAGAATTGTAAATACACAGCTTGGTTTTAAGACTATGTCATTTATTGCAATCCACTATTCAACCAGTCAGTTAAGCAATCCACTATTCAACCAGTCAGTTAAGCAATCCACTATTCAACCAGTCAGTTAAGCAATCCACTATTGAACCAGTCAGTTAAGCAATCCACTATTCAACCAGTCAGTTAAGCAATCCATTATTCAACCAGTCAGTTAAGCAATCCACTATTCAAGCAGTCAGTTAAGCAATCCCCTATTCAACCAGTCAGTTAAGCTATCTGACAAACCATCCAACTATGCGTCCAACCAGCCGAAAAATAAAAAATAACTGAAAAATAACAGTCATCCATCTAAGCAAGCATCGAGGCAACTAACCATCAGACCAATAATAATTCAATTAATGAACCAGCTAGTCAGTGAACCAACTTTTCCACTCAGTGAACCAACTTTTCCACTCAGTGAACCAACTTTTCCACTCAGTGAACCAACTTTTCCACTCAGTGAACCAACTTTTCCGTTCAGTGAACCAACTTTTCCGTTCAGTGAACCAACTTTTCCATTCTTTGGTTTGTTTTTTCAGTTTGGAGGAGGAAAAGAAAATTGTTGAAAGAGAATACAACAGGCTTCCAAAACAAGGGGTAAGAACTCTTAACACTATATATATATAGGGTTTGAGAAAATATAAACAAAAGTTTTTGTTTTATAAGCCATTAATTCATGAAGTACCAAGCTACCCACCATTTTTAAGTCTCCCTAAATGACATGTTTTTATCAATGTCTTGTTCTATTGCCAACTGTCAGATGTAATGTTAACTCATACTATCCCAGTAGTTACTTTTAAAGCTTTTACCCCATAATATTACTTTTAAAAGGTGGCAGAGTGATAGGAGAAAAAGGAGTGAAGTTGTGAGCATGAAATGAGTGGCAAAGAGAGAGAGAGAGAGAGAAAGAGAGAGAGAGAATAGATAGAAAGTGGAGAAATGAGTGTACTGCATACAAGCATGTCATGTGAATAGAATGCCTTTGTATATCATTAATTATATCATGTAACTTTAAAATATGTCAGTGAATTTTGAATCCAAATAGAAGTTGGGAAAAAAAAATAGTATTTATGTGAAACATTTTTACACCTAGAACATTATCATTTTAGGCAATAAATCTTCAGGTAGAAAAAGTTGAAGAAATATTTTCCTCGGACTGATGGGGTTAATTTTAGATACCTGTAGCTGGACGCACTGTACCTGCCATACAGGCCGACAGGGCTTATATTTTTCCATACCAGATAAGATTATTGAAGTATTTGTTCCTGTTAGTTGTTGATTTTTGTGTGTGAAATTAAAGACTCTACTATCTCAGTGTAATTTGCACTAAACAGTAGACAAGATGAATCCTGTCACCTGATTGTTTCTGTTACTGTAAGCTTATAATAAAGTAAAGTAAAGATTGTTTCTGTTACTGTAAGCTTATTATAAAGTAAAGTAAAGATTGTTTCTGTTACAGTAAGCTTATAATAAAGTAAAGTAAAGATTGTTTCTGTTACTGTAAGCTTATTATAAAGTAAAGTAAAGATTGTTTCTGTTACTGTAAGCTTATAATAAAGTAAAGTAAAGATTGTTTCTGTTACTGTAAGCTTATAATAAAGTAAAGTAAAGATTGTTTCTGTTACTGTAAGCTTATAATAAAGTAAAGTATAGATCCCTTATCATGCCTTGGGTGCATCTGGCATATGGGAAGAGAACCCATATTTTTACAGACCAATCGACAATAGGTTGGTTATGTGGTCAGCATTACGCCGGCCGTCTTTAGCATAACATCCTAGTACCCATTTCAGGACGCCCCATACCATGATAAAAATCCTCGCAGATTGCAGGGTTTTTCTATCGCAGTACTTTGGAATTACGAGTCAGACTCGCAACGCCTAAGCCAAAGACACTGCTTGTAAGCTTATAATGGGGAAAATAAATAAAAGTTTATGCTATTGAGGCATCTCGTATGTGATGCTACTCTTATTTACATATCAGTAAGCACTCAATAGATAATGTCATCAATATCTTGCCAGCCACCTTTACTTTCCAGAAATTTTCCATATCCATTTTAGGCTAGCAAATCTGGGAGCCCGGGTAGATTTAATAGTGCCTGAATGGCCATTTGAGCTTAATAATGCCTGAATGGGGATTTGACCTTAATAAGCCTAAATGGGGTTTTGAACCTATGTCTGGCATGCTTTCAGGCAAGTATGCTAGCCACTATGCTACTATGCATGTTTCAGGTTACGCAGACGGTATGTGTTTTCCTTCTTGATTCCTTACTCATGGGGGTCTACATAGTAAGCCATTTGCTTCAGGCTCTGAAGGTTGTGGCAGTCCCCGTGGCGGAGCAACTAGACGCTCGCCGCGGATCGGAAGGTCGTGGGTTCGTTCCCTGGACTTTTTTCAAAAATGACCTTGGCTCCCAGGTCGACCCAGCCTTGAGTGGGTACCGGGTGCAGTCCCAGGAAGTAGAGGTGGCCGGGGTGATGCTAACCACATCACCCATCTTGTGCCGATTGGTCTATAAAAATATAGGTCTAGCCCTATATGCCCAATACGCCTAATGGCGTGGGGAAAAAGTCCTTTACTTTTACTACTTACTCTGAAGGTTGTGGGTTGTTTGGTTTATGAGTGAAGTTTTTACAGAGATCCCAGAGGATCATCAAGGGAGCTACAGAGTTCATACTTTGTGCGATACTCTTGGCAGGTGACAAGCCATTCTGCAGATAGAGACATATGAGATAAAACTTGGTGCAATGAGGTTGATCTTCACGACTTCAACTTTACATACAAGCCTACCCACTGATGGTTCATATATTCAAGTGAACTGTTGGCCATAACTGTGTCCTCATTTTAGCAAGCCTGTATAATAATCTGTCCTGATACTTAAATAATTTACCTGCTACACACCTGTACCTATATGTCTGTTTTTTTGTCTTCCTCCATTTAGTGAGTCACTCACCTCTGCTATTGATCACTATTTTCATGTATCTATCAGCTGATATAATCTTCCAATGTAGAAAAGGCCTTAAACTAACTCATGCCACCTTGCTTGTGCATTAGGAAGTAGAGAAGAAACTAACTCATGCCACCTTGCTTGTGCATTAGGAAGTAGAGAAGAAACTAACTCATGCCACCTTGCTTGTGCATTAGGAAGTAGAGAAGAAACTAACTCATGCCACCTTGCTTGTGCATTAGGAAGTAGAGAAGAAACTAACTCATGCCACCTTGCTTGTGCATTAGGAAGTAGAGAAGAAACTAACTCATGCCACCTTGCTTGTGCATTAGGAAGTAGAGAAGAAACTAACTCATGCCACCTTGCTTGTGCATTAGGAAGTAGAGAAGAAACTAACTCATGCCACCTTGCTTGTGCATTAGGAAGTAGAGAAGAAACTAACTCATGCCACCTTGCTTGTGCGTTAGGAAGTAGAGAAGAAACTAACTCATGCCACCTTGCTTGTGCATTAGGAAGTAGAGAAGAAACTAACTCATGCCACCTTGCTTGTGCATTAGGAAGTAGAGAAGAAACTAACTCATGCCACCTTGCTTGTGCATTAGGAAGTAGAGAAGAAACTAACTCATGCCACCTTGCTTGTGCATTAGGAAGTAGAGAAGAAACTAACTCATGCCACCTTGCTTGTGCATTAGGAAGTAGAGAAGAAACTAACTCATGCCACCTTGCTTGTGCATTAGGAAGTAGAGAAGAAACTAACTCATGCCACCTTGCTTGTGCATTAGGAAGTAGAGAAAGAAACTAACTCATGCCACCTTGCTTGTGCATTAGGAAGTAGATAAGAAACTAACTCATGCCACCTTGCTTGTGCATTAGGAAGTAGAGAAGAAACTAACTCATGCCACCTTGCTTGTGCATTAGGAAGTAGAGAAGAAACTAACTCATGCCCCCTTGCTTGTGCATTAGGAAGTAGAGAAGAAACTAACTCATGCCACCTTGCTTGTGCATTAGGAAGTAGAGAAGAAACTAACTCATGCCCCCTTGCTTGTGCATTAGGAAGTAGAGAAGAAACTAACTCATGCCACCTTGCTTGTGCATTAGGAAGTAGAGAAGAAACTAACTCATGCCACCTTGCTTGTGCATTAGGAAGTAGAGAAGAAACTAACTCATGCCACCTTGCTTGTGCATTAGGAAGTAGAGAAGAAACTAACTCATGCCACCTTGCTTGTGCATTAGGAAGTAGAGAAGAAACTAACTCATGCCACCTTGCTTGTGCATTAGGAAGTAGAGAAGAAACTAACTCATGCCACCTTGCTTGTGCATTAGGAAGTAGAGAAGAAACTAACTCATGCCACCTTGCTTGTGCATTAGGAAGTAGAGAAGAAACTAACTCATGCCACCTTGCTTGTGCATTAGGAAGTAGAGAAGAAACTAACTCATGCCACCTTGCTTGTGCATTAGGAAGTAGAGAAGAAACTAACTCATGCCACCTTGCTTGTGCATTAGGAAGTAGAGAAGAAACTAACTCATGCCACCTTGCTTGTGCATTAGGAAGTAGAGAAGAAACTAACTCATGCCACCTTGCTTGTGCATTAGGAAGTAGAGAAGAAACTAACTCATGCCACCTTGCTTGTGCATTAGGAAGAAGTAGAGAAGAAAACTAACTCATGCCACCTTGCTTGTGCATTAGGAAGTAGAGAAGAAACTAACTCATGCCACCTTGCTTGTGCATTAGGAAGTAGAGAAGAAACTAACTCATGCCACCTTGCTTGTGCATTAGGAAGTAGAGAAGAAACTAACTCATGCCACCTTGCTTGTGCATTAGGAAGTAGAGAAGAAACTAACTCATGCCACCTTGCTTGTGCATTAGGAAGTAGAGAAGAAACTAACTCATGCCACCTTGCTTGTGCATTAGGAAGTAGAGAAGAAACTAACTCATGCCACCTTGCTTGTGCATTAGGAAGTAGAGAAGAAACTAACTCATGCCACCTTGCTTGTGCATTAGGAAGTAGAGAAGAAACTAACTCATGCCACCTTGCTTGTGCATTAGGAAGTAGAGAAGAAACTAACTCATGCCACCTTGCTTGTGCATTAGGAAGTAGAGAAGAAACTAACTCATGCCACCTTGCTTGTGCATTAGGAAGTAGAGAAGAAACTAACTCATGCCACCTTGCTTGTGCATTAGGAAGTAGAGAAGAAACTAACTCATGCCACCTTGCTTGTGCATTAGGAAGTAGAGAAGAAACTAACTCATGCCACCTTGCTTGTGCATTAGGAAGTAGAGAAGAAACTAAACTCATGCCACCTTGCTTGTGCATTAGGAAGTAGAGAAGAAACTAACTCATGCCACCTTGCTTGTGCATTAGGAAGTAGAGAAGAAACTAACTCATGCCACCTTGCTTGTGCATTAGGAAGTAGAGAAGAAACTAACTCATGCCACCTTGCTTGTGCATTAGGAAGTAGAGAAGAAACTAACTCATGCCACCTTGCTTGTGCATTAGGAAGTAGAGAAGAAACTAACTCATGCCACCTTGCTTGTGCATTAGGAAGTAGAGAAGAAACTAACTCATGCCACCTTGCTTGTGCATTAGGAAGTAGAGAAGAAACTAACTCATGCCACCTTGCTTGTGCATTAGGAAGTAGAGAAGAAACTAACTCATGCCACCTTGCTTGTGCATTAGGAAGTAGAGAAGAAACTAACTCATGCCACCTTGCTTGTGCATTAGGAAGTAGAGAAGAAACTAACTCATGCCACCTTGCTTGTGCATTAGGAAGTAGAGAAGAAACTAACTCATGCCACCTTGCTTGTGCATTAGGAAGTAGAGAAGAAACTAACTCATGCCACCTTGCTTGTGCATTAGGAAGTAGAGAAGAAACTAACTCATGCCACCTTGCTTGTGCATTAGGAAGTAGAGAAGAAACTAACTCATGCCACCTTGCTTGTGCATTAGGAAGTAGAGAAGAAACTAACTCATGCCACCTTGCTTGTGCATTAGGAAGTAGAGAAGAAACTAACTCATGCCACCTTGCTTGTGCATTAGGAAGTAGAGAAGAAACTAACTCATGCCACCTTGCTTGTGCATTAGGAAGTAGAGAAGAAACTAACTCATGCCACCTTGCTTGTGCATTAGGAAGTAGAGAAGAAGAAGAACTAACTCATGCCACCTTGCTTGTGCATTAGGAAGTAGAGAAGAAACTAACTCATGCCACCTTGCTTGTGCATTAGGAAGTAGAGAAGAAACTAACTCATGCCACCTTGCTTGTGCATTAGGAAGTAGAGAAGAAACTAACTCATGCCACCTTGCTTGTGCATTAGGAAGTAGAGAAGAAACTAACTCATGCCACCTTGCTTGTGCATTAGGAAGTAGAGAAGAAACTAACTCATGCCACCTTGCTTGTGCATTAGGAAGTAGAGAAGAAACTAACTCATGCCACCTTGCTTGTGCATTAGGAAGTAGAGAAGAAACTAACTCATGCCCCCTTGCTTGTGCATTAGGAAGTAGAGAAGAAACTAACTCATGCCCCCTTGCTTGTGCATTAGGAAGTAGAGAAGAAAATCAAAGAACTACAGAACACCTGTGAAGAGCTCAGAAGAGAAATTGTGCAAAGACAAACAGAAGTTAAAACACTAACAGAGGATCTGGAATCAACTCAGCGGCAAACTGCAAATGACCAAAAGGAGTTTGAGAAGCTAAACGATGAGGTGGAACGATTGAAGGTAACTGTGGCTTGATACTCTTGTGTTTGCTCTTACATCTAGTCTTAATAACAACGAACAGGCTTTGTGTCTCATGTAATTAAAACAGAGCAGACATTGATTAAATCTAATTCAAACTCTAATTGTTTTCTTTTATTACAAACAATAAATGGTAATTGTTTATTTGTTTGAAAATACTCAACATTGAGGGGGAAACATCAGGCTGCAACTGGTTCTATTAGCATGTTGACTTTTTGTTTGCTGCTGAAGAAGGGGACGGAGCACATGTAGGAATGTCCTGAGTGCAGTAATGTCAGTTCTTGATTCATTCATTCTTTTATTACAGACATTTTCTTTCTCTGTCTGTTGACCTTGTTCAGAAATATTGTGTCCACTTTTTGGGGTCAGTATGGCACTGTGTTTAAGCCATTCGTTTCATGCTCTGAAGGTCATGGTTCATTTTATAGACTCAGTCATTTAGTTCATGCGTGCAATTTTTGTGGAGATTTTTTAGGATTATCTCTGGGACTACATACAGACTTTGGGCTTTGCATGATGCAGTTGCTAGCTGTCTTATAGAGATAAACCAAGTCATATGGGATACAGCCAGGTGCAATGAAGTCAATCCTTCCACTTTAAACCTTTTCTTTGATTTCTACCCATGGTAATCAGGTAATCCCAGTTTTAGCATCATAGCTAACGGGTCACACCTCTCCCCACCCCATAGTGGCTCCATTCATGTGGCTGCAAAAACCACCCAGAATATCCATCTCTGTCCCTTGCACAAAACTAGTAGCATACACATGCATTAAATGCATAAGGCAACCATCAGAAGTGCCAACACAGATAGTCTGGCACTAAAAATGCAGTTATTCGTCATTAGAAGCAGAAGATCAGTAGTTGCACACACCATTCATTGCATAAGGCAACACTACTTCTCTGGCAACAGGGTACTCACCATTTTCTGAAGTTGCAGTTCACAATACAAACCACACTGGGCACAGTCAAAAAGCATTCCAAATGAACTCTGTAGCTCACAGTGTTGTGCCAAACACTCAGCTCAATATCTGGATGACGGAACTAAATCATCTCAGTCTAAATGTTGAGGAAAATGCACTGGCTAAGTATTGTCAAAAAACAAAAACTTGTCATGACTAAAAACATTCAGCCTGTCTATATGTTGTATAGACCTGAAACTTCCTGTATTCGCCTGTTCCCTGTTCCATGTAGCAGTTCTATGTCAGTTATACCTTGTAATACATTTTTTAATGGGCCTTGAGCTGACTAAGGTGGCCCACTATATTAAGACGTCCTCTGTTTATTTTAGAGTATTTGTTCACACATTTCATATTATTTCAAATGTAGTATTATTATTTTATATTCAGTACATATATATACACATACATACATACACACACATATATATATGTATAAAGATGTATATATATATATATGTATATGTGTGTGTATGTATGTATGTTTGTTAAAAAAATATATATATATACATACATGAGTATATATAATAAATTATTATTATTGCACAGTTAAACAAGCCTTAAGTCTCTTGAGTGCCTCCAACCATCTAGAAAATAATACCAGGAAACAAAAGGGCAGGGGTCGGGGGGGGGGGCATGGTTGCGTACATATCTGGGATATTGTGCCTCCTTTAGACCCTTTGTTAAAATACTATCTTGAATTGAATTTACTGCCTGTGGGTAGCACAATTGGTTTTGGGGGGAGCGGGGGGGGGGGGGGGGGGGGGGGGGGGGCAGCTTGAATCTGCGGGTTGAAGTCCACATGGTTAGAGCAGTCGCCACAGGGAGACAATTTTTTGGGTTTTTTGTTGTTGACACTGACAGATAAACCTCTACCACCTTAATGAGAATTTGAACCCAGCTCTACCGCATGAGAGCCCAGTGTTTTAACTGTTCCATCAGCCGCTGCTTGCTTCTGCCATTACTTGAACTCTTGTATTTTTATATAATTGTTTAGCTTTTATTGTCATGACAGTGTTGAGTGAATGAGTGACGTTCCAACCTACCAGGACAGCACAACAGATATTAACACCCAGTGACACGAGGTGCCCCCATTCAGTTAAAGTCTGTTGACCATTAACAAAATATAAAAACCTGTTGAGGAAATGTTACCAGCACTGGCCGGTTACCAGCTACGTGCTTGCTGAATTATGACCTGTTTACATCCTAGTTTGCCTCGCCAAGGATATTAAGTTCCAGGCTTGACCAACTGGCTTTCTCAGCTTGGAGAAGGGAAGGAAAGCTTTGCAACACAGTTCCTATGGAGTTATTACTCTTGTACTGGATTTGGAGAAAAGACTTTGCATGAACTTCACTCTGACAGATGATCCACCCTTAAATAACTTGAATTTCAGTACATCAAACTAAGTGCCAAAGCTTCTGTCACATTTGCTCTAATAAGGGCAATTTGCATGTTGTTTTGTGGTTGACAGCTAGGCTGTGATATCTGTGTCTTTCAGCAGTGCTGATCTCAGCGAATCCTTTATTCGTCACCTTTTATGACTTGCTGGTTAAGAAGCATACCCTTAGCTTTGAATGACAGCTGGTCTAGGAGAGACAGGCGGATCGATAGAGCACTGCTCTTCTGATCTGGCAACTTCTGCAGCCTGCTTTGTTCCAAACGTATTAGGGTTACCTTTTATCTGGAGTAAACAAGAGAGGTCGAGGGAGGGATCATGATGCATGGGCAACATATGGTCTCTACAATACTGCCCAGGCTTTGTGCTATTGAGAGGATGAAAAATGGTCCTGAAATCTCATACTATAATTGTGGAAGACTTTTATTAACCTGGGCGAGTCTTGCTAGTCACACTTGCCATCGCTGTGGGCTGTAAGTCCCATGCCTCCTCATAGCGCAATATAACACTATCGTCTGGAAAAATGGATAGGTGCCAAACGGTTAAGAAGCAGTGGGTCTTCCCCCACACCTTTTTCCCAACCCTCAAAAATAGGGCCCTGGAGCCGACACAGAGATTTTATATTATTATTTATTTTAATCTTTCACACTAGATGTTATTATTTTGCAGGTTTCAGTTTAATTATCTGTCTTTCACAGCTGTGCCCTCATATAGTATGATATAATTTGTTTGTCTTTAACCAGGCTGAATTGGTCCAAGTAAGCACTTTGCCTGCACACACTGCTAAAGAAAGTGACAGAATTTCCAGAAAGAAAAAGTGAGTTGAATATATAAAATATAAGCATGTTACAAAAAAACACACATGAACGAACGAACTTTATTTTCAAAGGGTTACAAATTGGGCATCAGCCCCCCTCCCCCCCCTCCCCCCTTACATTCGGCCCTTCCAGTCAGCCATCTTTTGCACACGTAACATTATGTAACTTGAATTTAATTTTATTTAGCTAAAGAACATGTAACATTGCGTAACATGAATCTACTCTTATTTAGCTACATATTATGGCATCCTAGTGAAAATGTGTAATTGGCAATAACTGAGAAATAACATAAACAATATATATGAATGTATGATAAATCGGCAGTTAGAAACAAATTATACAAGAAGATCAGACTAGAAAAACAGTCACTGGGTGAGAGGTTTGATAGAATAGAATCAGTTGAAAGATGCATGGATGGAGGGATCAATAAGGGGAGAGATGGGTCAATCAATAGTTAGAGGCTCCAGTGTGGGTTCCCATGGTGGAGGGGGAAAATAGACAGACTGCTCCCTCTAACAAGCATGTCATAAAAGTTGATTGATTGGGGATGTTTCCTTTTAAGTCAGAGGGCATCTTCCTGAGGAGTAAAGAACCAACAGTCTGCATAAAAAATAATCAGATCTGCAAAACGGAGATGCACACAAAACAGAAGTTCTGAAACAAGACTAAAGTCCTTAAGTTGATGAACACCCAAAACTTTCTATCAGAGTTTACATCCAGTATACCCGAAGAAGAAGACGAAGAATAGATGTAGAGATGACCGGCAGGCAGGCAGAAGAACAGATAGAAAGCTGACAGACAGAGGGTAGGCAAGCAAGTATGTAGGTGTGAAGGCAAACAGACAAACACCCAAGCAGACAGTCAGACATAATGCAGACAGACAGAGAGAGAACCTGATGACTGAATGAATGAAGGAAAGTTGGTGGTGGTGAAATTGATGGAGAGATCATTTTCATTATTTCCATGTGTGATCAAACTTTCACATAAACTCCCACAATGAACTTTGCTAAACTTTCCCAGTGAGGTGACGGCCAAAATAGAAGTCCTGATCACTGAGTACCAAGATCTTGTTGAGATGGCAAAAAGTCTAGAAACTCAGAGAAAGGCTTTAGAAGAGGAGAAACTGTTTGCTGACATTGAACTAGAGAATGAGAAAGCCAAGCTGAATGACAATGAAAGACAACTGGCCGCCCTCTTGAGGGATTCCGAGTTGCTTAAAGAGCGGGAAATTACTCTACTTGGAGACAAGTATGTTTCTTTTTGTTTGTGTTGAAATCTATATTTACAATTTACATTGACCAGATAATATCCAATTTGTTTGTTTTTTAAATTAAGCATGACTAAACATTGTAATTTCTATTGTGCCATTTGAAATTTAAAAAAAAAACTGGTTAAAAAAGGAGAGATAGCTGTTGATGACAATTAAAATGTGCAGTTGGTAAAAATTGTATACCATTTACTAATAATACAACATTTTACTTGTTTAGTTAACACATATAATTTTGCTGTCTACTCATAACATTTTATTATGTTCTTATTTTATTAACGAAGTGTAGAAGTGTATAAAACGGCAGATGTGCTAGAAAGAATATGATAAACAGATGGGTTGAGTTGAGTTAAGAACCATCATCTTAGCATTCAGAACATTCTTATAAATGTTTCGTCCTCATCTTTAGCAGCCTCCCTCGAAGTTGGAGTACATCTGCCAGTGAGGCAGGAAACGAGAATTGCACACAAATAAGCCAGTAAAATGGATGTACATGCAAAACTCAGGTCCAGGTAAAAGCCAGAAGTAACTCAGGTCCAGGTAAAAGCCAGAAGTCTATATGGCGAACAACTGGGACTTTCTGCAGGAATTCACATCCAGTGAACAAGAAGAAGAAGAAGAATCTTCAACAGCCAGCACAGAGTTCTAATCCTGTGATACCAGCGGCAGCCAGTACAGAGTTCCAATCCTGTGATACCAGCAGCAGCCAGCACAGAACTCTAATCCTGTGATACCAGCAGCAGCCAGCACAGAGTTCCAATCCTGTGATACCAGCAGCAGCCAGCACAGTTCCAATCCTGTGATACCAGCAGCAGCCAGCACAGTTCCAATCCTGTGATACCAGCAGCCAGCACAGTTCCAATCCTGTGATACCAGCAGCAGCCAGCACAGTTCCAATCCTGTAATACCAGCGGCAGCCGGGTTTTGTGTCCCACTGCTCTGTCCTCTGAAAATTGAAAAAAAAATTAAAATAAAAAAACAGACAGATGGGCATTATGGCATTATGGGAAACTTATGTAATGGAAATGATTGGCAGAAAAAAGATGAGGAAATACGTGTCAGTTGATGCTTTATTGCATAGTCAAAAAAAAAAATTTAGAAAGTAATTCTTTCTAAAATAGTAAACATTAAATTACATTAAATGTCACCAGAAAACAATTTGTAAAAATGTATACTTAGACACATTTAGTGGAAATATTTGTAATTTTATCCTATGTTTTGTTTACTATTTTTTTCACTTTTTCAGAGCAAATCTTGACTTAAACTTTCGTCACTTGCAAATGGAAAAGAAAACACAGCATGAAATTCACACACGCAAAGTTCGAGAAAAGGACAGAGATATGCGTCTGCTGAAAAAAGCTAAACTGCAGCTGAAAGTGGCAGAAGAAAATCTCGGTCACATAAAATCGATTCATGACAAAGTCAAGTCCCAGGTAAGTGACACATAATTTAATGCAATATTAAATCGCCAAAAGTGTTTAATGGAAATTTTTTTTTTTCTGCATTCACCATTAAAACAGTGGTTGGCACATTATGTAGTTTACAGCAAGGCTGTGATATATTCACTTTCAACCCATCACATCTGATTTCAGCAAACCACTAATTATTAATCTATTCCAACATATTTGTTAGGGAGGCAGTGGGTCTGTTTGCGTGGCCCCCCCCCCCCCCCCCCCCCCCCCCCCCCCCCCCCCCCCCCCCCCCCCCCCCACCTCCCCCCTAAAAAAAAAATGAGAACCTGAAATCCACATATTGATTAAGAAACATATATATCCTTTTAGTGTCTTTAAAAAAGGTGCCAGTACTGTGTAACATTGTGTACCAAAAGAAATACAAACTTTCGCCAGTGACAGATCTGTGCAGAGACGTAAACACCTGAACCATTTGGCCAAGCACATAATGATGATGAATCATTGTGATATATACTCTGTAGCATGTATATGAAGGATTTTTTTAAATACTAAGACTAAAGGTTACTAAAGAAACATTGGATGGTAGACTATCATGTTTACTAATTATTTCCTTATTTACTTAATATTACCTTGTTTACTTAAACAAAAAACCAAATCAAAATAAAAAGATTACCTTGCTTACTAAAAACTATCTCATTTACTAAAAACTATATTGCTTGTAAAAAACTAATTTGGTAATTAAAGACTCTTGTTTCCAAAAACAACACTGTTTACTGAAAACCATGTTTCCGTAAAGTTATGGTGCACTTTTAACCAGTCACAGGAAATCAACGAAACAAGATAGAAATGTGAAATCTTCACCAAATCAAAGGAAAACTCTCCAAGTTTTGTACCTATTTCGCGCAGTTCCTGGTGTAGCGTCATCCCCCGTGTGCGCCCATGCTTGCACATCATACTACAAAACCTGGAAAGTTTTTCTTTTATTTAGTGCAGATTTCACATTTATGTCTGTTGCTTTCCTGTGACAGTCACAAGTACACCATGACCTTACAGACACAGTGTATATTCACTGGTACCTAAGGTCACAAACTAAATTCATACTTTCACTTCATTGGTGAACTGAAACAATTTTTCCCATTGAAATTAATGTAAATCAAATTAATCTGCCCACCTGCCCCAGAAACATATAGCTTTTTTTTTCTTTTTTAAATAGATTTATGTTGATATATGATAGTTGCTGACACAGATAGATGGAAGAGGAGGAAGAAGAAAAAATCACTGTGCAAAATTAAAGCCTTCTCGCATATTAGGGCCTTACTAACACTATCTCCCGCAAGCTGCTTTTCATTAATCTAAATTAACAATACTTTTGCTACTTCTTCTAACATTTAAGACCTTTGCATCGCTAACATAGTCACGCCTTTAGCCACATCAGCCACCTTTAGCCACATCAACCGCCTTTAGCCACATCAACTGCCTTTAGCCACATCAACTGCCTTTAGCCACATGAACTGCCCTTAGCCACATCAACTGCCTTTAGCCACATCAACCGCCTTTAGCCACATCAACCGCTTTTAGCCACATCAAACGCCTTTAGTCACATCAACCGCTTTTATCCACATCAACCACCTTTAGCCACATCAACTGCCTTTAGCCACATCAACTGCCTTTAGCCACATCAACTGCCTTTAGCCACATCAACCGCTTTTAGCCACATCAACTGCCTTTAGCCACACCAACTGCCTTTAGCCACATCAACTGCCTTTAGCGACACCAACTGCCTTTAGCCACATCAACTGCCTTTAGCCACATCAACTGCCTTTAGCCACAGCAGCTGCCTTTAGCCACATCAACTGCCCTTAGCCACATCAACTGCCTTTAGCCACATCAACTGCCTTTAGCCACATCAACCGCCTTTAGCCACATCAACTGCTTTTAGCCACATCAACCGCCTTTAGCCACATCAACTGCCTTTAGCCACATAAACTGCCTTTAGCCACATGAACTGCCCTTAGCCACATCAACTGCCTTTAGCCACATCAACCGCCTTTAGCCACATCAACCGCTTTTAGCCCCATCAAACGCCTTTAGTCACATCAACCGCTTTTATCCACATCAACCACCTTTAGCCACATCAACTGCCTTTAGCCACATCAACTGCCTTTAGCCATATCAACCGCCTTTAGCCACATCAACCGCCTTTAGCCACATCAACTGCCTTTAGCCACACCAACTGCCTTTAGCCACATCAACTGCCTTTAGCCACACCAACTGCCTTTAGCCACATCAACTGCCTTTAGCCACATCAACTGCCTTTAGCCACAGCAGCTGCCTTTAGCCACATCAACTGCCCTTAGCCACATCAACCGCCTTTAGCCACATCAACTGCCTTTAGCCACATCAACTGCCTTTAGCGCATCTTTGTTCTTTAATATAGTACAGATGGTAGATTCAACCATATCGTACTGCTTGATCAGATCAGAAACATAAAGATCACTCTCATGTTTAGTTATTATTTCCTTCTTTGTTTCTACTGTAATACACTTAGGCTTCTTGAAGTCACTGTCACTAATACTTTTCACTTTCTTGGGAGCCTTATTGAGGGTTAATTTAATGCAAAAAAGTTTTTTTTTTGTTTTTTTTTTGGTAGGAGGAACAATGTTCACAGCTAAAGACCTGAGTACAGCTGATCCTGTTGTTGAAAACATGGCAAGAAAGCCATGTTTTTGCATTCGTGCTCCGAGGAAGTGTTTGCAGATCAAGTCAAACAAAATTTGTTTAGAAATTTTGTTTGTGATTGAAGGTGTTTGTGACTGAAGGTGTTAGTTACCGAAGGCATTTGTGACTTGAGGTACCAATTTGAACGTATTTCTGATTGTATGTGACTAGGTTAATGCACTTCCCAAAGATGATGGCTCTTTGCTGAAAAAGAGAGAAGAGCTGCTGAAAGAAGTAGAGCAAGCAAAAAGGGCATTGGCACAGCAAGTAAGTTTATATAGATCAACAGTTTATGTGCATTAGCAGACTGTAAAGATCGACAGTTTATGTGCATTAGCAGACTATATATATCAACATTTTATGTGCATTAGCAGATGGTAAAGATCAACAGTTTATGTGCATTAGCAGACTGTATAGATCAACAGTTTATGTGCATTAACAGACTATATAGATCAACAGTTTATGTGCATTAGCAGACTGTATAGATCAACAGTTTATGTGCATTAGCAGACTGTATAGATCAACAGTTTATGTGCATTAGCAGACTATATAGATCAACAGTTTATGTGCATTAGCAGACTGTATAGATCAACAGTTTATGTGCATTAGCAGACTATATAGATCAACAGTTTATGTGCATTAGCAGACTGTATAGATCAACAGTTTATGTGCATTAGCAGACTGTATAGATCAAGAGTTTGTGTGCATTAACAGACTGTTTAGATCAACAGTTTGTGTGTATTAGCAGACTATATAGATCTACAGTTTATGTGCATTAACAGACTGTATAGATCAACAGTTTATTTGCATTAGCAGACTATATATATCAACAGTTTATGTGCATTAACAGACTATATAGATCAACAGTTTATGTGCATTAACAGACTGTATAGATCAACAGTTTATTTGCATTAGCAGACTGTATAGATCATCAGTTTATTTACATTAGCAGATGGTAAAGATCAACAGTTTATGTGCATTAGCAGACTGAATAGATCAACAGTTAATGTGCATGAGCAGACTATATAGATCAACAGTTTATTTGCATTAGCAGACTGTATAGATCATCAGTTTATGTGCAGTAGCAGACTGTATAGATCAACAGTTTATGTGTATTAGCAGAATATATAGATCAACAGTTTATGTGCATTAGCAGACTGTATAGATCATCAGTTTATGTGCAGTAGCAGACTGTATAGATCAACAGTTTATTTGCATTAGCAGACTGTATAGATCAACAGTTTATGTGCATTAGTAGACTATATAGATCAACAGTTTATGTGCATTAGCAGAATATATAGATCAACAGTTTATGTGCATTAGTAGACTATATAGATCAGCAGTTATAAAGATTAACAGCTTGTATGGATTAAAAGTTCATATATATGTATATATAAGCAGTTTCTAAAGATTAGCAGTTTGTTTAGATTTAAAATCAGAGATTTGCTTGTGCCGGGAAAGCAGATGCAAAAAAAGAAAAAAAATAAGCTGACAGACTCATGGTTGTGCTACTGCAAAAATGGAAGAGCAATGGACCAGGCTGATGATTCAGAATTCGCCTCAGAGAGGAAAGTTGGCTAAATGAATCAAGTTACTGTCTATGAACTGTCTGCAGGATGAAAAGTTACAAGAAGTGCACAAATGAATGAACGAAAGAATCTGTATTTTTCAAGGGTGACAAATGGAGCACACAGATCTGTCTTACATTCGGCTCTTCCACACACTTGTTTTTCACACATCAGTTGTATTTTTATCTACAGAGCATGTTATGTTCATATAGCAAAATATGTTATGGTAATGATAATGTTAATGTTAGTTTCAGTTTCATAGCAAACGGGTCACCCCATAGCTGCCAACGAAAAACACACAGAATGTTCATCATAGTCCCTTGTGGAGAGGTTGACAGACTGCTTTCTCAGCATATGCGCTAGCATACACATGCAAAATATGTATATGAACATAGGGTAAAAAATATAAATGCATGGATGGCAGATACTTACACACCCACAATTCAAACACACATACATACACACGTACTACGTACACAGACAAGAGTGCTATCATCATCATCATGTGCCCAACTGATTGGAATAGGCAGTCATGTTTCATCATCTCATATGATCTCCAGAATCACGGATCAGGTCATTGCTGCTATCCTGCCCCAGCAATACGGTCAAGCACATCCAGATATTCACTGTTTGTCTTCTCCTTGCTCTTTTTCCGTCAAGCTTCCCAAAAGCATTGTCAACATACAGAGGACCAAACAAAAAAAATAAACCAACAACCGCTCTATTGTTGTCATGCACAACATGCTGAGGGATATACAGAGGAAGGGATCAGAGAGCACTTACATACTAGATAGCTCACTGTGTAATTAGATTGATACGTTGACCAACTAGCTAACTAGATGACTACTGATACAGCGATTATGCCTTCTGCAGAATTCACTGACAGCTGTTGAGCATGTGAAGCTGGAGGCCAGTGCAGCAGAAGAGCAGAATTTGTTGTATGAACAAAGTGACCTTCGCATTGAGGTTGTTGAACTGACCAGGCTTGCAGCTATTAAGGTGAGTCATTAGACTGTGCAAGCAGTAAATAAGTAGCAGATTTATTGAGAGTATTACCGATTACTAGAGAATTCCATGGGTGAGTTCCAGGGCCCTATTGGGATGGGGAAGGGGGGGGGGGGGGAGGCTGGGGGTAGACCCAACGCTTCATGATAAGCAGTACTTGTAGACCTACTGCTCCATTTAGTAAAAGGCTACTGATTAAGAATTTGCTGAAATGCTATATGAAAAACAGAGTCAAATAATATAACTTTCTGTCTATGGTAGATGGGGGTCTTCATGGCAAAGTGGTCAAGTCATTTCCCTAGCATTCTAAAGGTCATGGTTTTGTTTCACGGCTATGTCATTTGGTACACGAGTGCGGTTTTTATGATGAGCCCTGGAGATTATCGCCAGAGCTACGTGTCCGTGCTTTGTGCGATGCTCTTGGCAGGAGGCTGTTCTGTGGAGAGAGACTGAGCCATATAGAATAAATACCCTGTGCAAATGAAATCAATCCTCTCAACTTTGATTTTTAATTGTAACCTTTATATGATAGGTACATTATGCTTTTGTGTTGCAGATTTGTTTTTGTTTTAGAGATGTGTGTTTTTGTATGTGTAAACTGTCATTGCATGTGTTAGATGTATTCTCTGAGTGTAGAAGATATGTTTAATAAAGTAAAGTTATATGATAGATGATCTGTATGTGTAGAAGATACATTTAATAAAGTAAAGTAAAAGTTATATGATAGATGATCTGTATGTGTAGAAGATATGTGTAGTAAAGTAAAGTAAAAGGTATATGATAGATGATCTGTATGTGTAGAAGATATGTTCAGAAAAGTAATTTTAAAAAAAAAATTCATAAGATAGTTTAACTGTATGTGAAGAAGATATGTGTAGTAAAGTTTAAAAAAGTAAAAAGATGAACTGTTTGTGTAAAAGATATGTGTAGTAAAGTTTAAAAAAGTAAAAAGATGAACTGTATGTGAAGAAGATATGTGTAGTAAAGTTTAAAAAAGTAAAAAGATGAACTGTATGTGTAAAAGATATGTGTAGTAAAGTTTAAAAAAGTAGTAAGATGAACTGTATGTGAAGAAGATATGTGTAGTAAAGTTTTAAAAAGTAGTAAGATGAACTGAATGTGAAGAAGATATGTGTAGTAAAGTTTTAAAAAGTAGTAAGATGAACTGAATGTGAAGAAGATATGTGTAGTAAAGTTTAAAAAAGTAATAAGATGAACTGAATGTGAAGAAGATATGTGTAGTAAAGTTTTAAAAAGTAGTAAGATGAACTGAATGTGAAGAAGATATGTGTAGTAAAGTTTAAAAAAGTAATAAGATGAACTGTATGTGAAGAAGATATGTGTAGTAAAGTTTAAAAAAGTAAAAAGATGAACTGTATGTGAAGAAGATATGTGTAGTAAAGTAATCACAAAGGACACTGTTCATGTCAGTTTGTGAATCTAGCATATAGTGCAAGACCCATATTTGTCTACACCAGTCAGCACTTGGTGGGAGATGTGGCCAGTCAATTCAAAGAAAGGAAAACTGTTGTTAAATAAAGAATAAAACTGGATTGGATTTTTACCAAATGCAACATATTTTTATTTCATATTATAAGTATACTGGGTGTTGACTTCTGTGATCTTTCACCCTCTTGGATCTCCATCTCCCTCTTAGCTCTCACCGGCTGTAAACTCTGGCAGAAAGTTGGGGTTGTTCGTCCACCTCTGGACTTTCGTCTGGTTCTAGAAACTGAGTGTTGCATGCACATCAGTTTTACAGATCTGACTTATTTTTATATAGACTTTTGGTTTCTTGCCTCTCTTAGGACACTTTTGTTGAGGTGGCAGTGGATCTAGTTTTGTTTTCCCCACAATGGGACCCTGGAACCCACATGGGGAGCCTGGAACCCACAATGGGACCCCGGAACCCACATGCGAAACCCTGTTGGATAAGGTGTTGATTTCTATGGCTGTTGGTAGTAAATTTGCTAAGGAATGACTCCCATGTTTCTTTCTCCACTGCACGATAATGTCATAGTTTATTGGTACGCTTGACATTGTATATTAGGCAGATGAAAGAGAACAGAAAGCTCGAGATTTCATGCGAGCTGAGATGAAATATCACCGAGCCGTGGAAGATCTCAAAACCAAGAAGCTCCAGATTCACGACCATCAGAAAAAATTTCAGGAAATGCAGCTGAAGTAAGTGACATGTATTGTGAAGTACCATATTATGCAGTATATCCTTTCAACACCATCAAGTGCCTTGCCAGCTAGCCTAAGCGTTCATGCATCTCCACAGATCTTGGTCTTTGGTGTTCTGGATGAATTCTACTGATTATATTCCTCTATGCCACTGTCTTAAGCCAACTATCTTAATTTCTCTTGGTCTGCCTCTGCCTCTTCTACCAGTGATCTTTTCAGTTGTCACAATATTTTCCAGTGCTCTTTTTCTTATCACATGACCAAAGAACTTCATTTGTCTCCTTCTCATTGTTGTATATAATGTTCTTTCATTAGCCATTTACAGGCAATCATTGTTGGTTATTCTGGCAGTCCATGGTATTTGCAGCATTCTTCTCAACAACCACATCTCAGTTGCCTCCAAACCCGTCTTAATTTAAACATTCCAAGATTCACTGCCATACAACAGAACAGGCTCGTCGTAACATTTCAGTACCTTTTTTTAAAATGTTTAATGAGAGTGATTTATTATATAAGATGCTTTTTTATCTTCTAAAATGCTGCCTTTGCCTGGCCAATTTTGCTTTTAATTTCTGTCACACGTGATGATGTTATGAATGTCCCCAAATACTTGAATTTATTGACTTGGCTAAGCACTTTCCCTTCTATTGTTATGTCACATTTTGAAGTTATCTTTCTCTTTGATATAACCATTGTTTCTGTTTTCTTGACATTCAAGGAATCCATTGGGTTTTTTTTTTTAAAGTAATTCTTGCATGTTGTATACAGTAGAGCCAGTTTTTGCATACGGCTGTTAATCCTAGACGATTAATAAACAAGCCGAACAATTATTGGTACCTCTAAGATGTTTTACAGAAGAATCCATAGAATGCCTTGGACAGCCAAAAAGAGCAGCTCAAATGTTTTGAAAGAGGTGAGGGCTCGAAGACAACTTGTCACAAACATCAGAAAGAGATAGTCATCATTTGTTGGTGATCTTCTTCTTCTTCTTTCGTTCGCCTGAAATAAGTTGTCTATATCAGCAGTTTTGTCTCTTGTATAAATTTCACTGTTGTTGTTAGTTCATTCAGTGGTCCATAGAGTTTACGTTCCACTGTTGTTCTTTCTGGCCAAAAGGTTTGCCTTAATGTGTCAAAATCGGTGCAGTCCTGGAGTACATGCTCTGCTATCTGGGGCACATTTCCACAGGTGCACATGGCTGATACACCTATCTTGAATTTTGTGTACATGTGGTTAGGTAATCGGTTGTGCCCTGTTCTGAGGCAGAGGATAATGACTTGTTCTGGTCTGTCCATAATAAAATAGTCGTCTTGTGCTGGGGCTGGCGGTTTCCTGATCGATTTAATGATTCTTTTCTTTTGGTGGTATGTGACTGGTACATCCGGCTGCTCTTTTGTCGCACCTTCCCCTGCCAGTTGATCAGCTTTCTCATTTCCAGGCACTCCACAATGAGACCGTATCCACTGCATTACGACTCTTCGCTGAACGCTGAGTTGTGTCAGTAGTGTTTGCAATTCTGGTAGTTTCTTAGACTGGAGTGCTTCAAGTACTGATTTAGCATCTGTCAGCATTACCACATACTGTGAGCCAAGGTTGGTATTTAGCAGTTTCTCTGTAGCTATCTTGATAGCCTGGGTTTCTGCATCATAATTATGGCAGTACTTCCCGGTTGGTACGCTGGACTTATCCCTAGTACCAACTGGGAATTCGATGTACACTCCAGCGCCACCATTTCTAACTGCACTTTCTGCGGACCCATCTGTATAGACTCTGACCCATTGTTCTTGTGGGTATTCTTCATCAATATAACTGAGGGTGGCCATTCTGCGTTGTACACTATCTTGCTCTTTCTTGTCAAATATCTCTTTCACATTTGTCTGGATTGTTGGTGATATTATGATAAGAAGGAAACTGGAACAATGTTGTGACCACTGGGAAGATCTGTGGAAAAAGAGACAGAGGAAGACAGTGCAAGACAGTTGTTGACATATTTTTATCATGACATGGAGGGGTGTCAACACATGAACATATATGCTGTGGAGAGGCATGATCACCCATGCCTGTCGACAAAGCACTTGATGAGGATGATAAGTGACACACCTCTCCTTGGCATACAGACCTTATATATAACCCCAGCTTATTTTTATATGTCCATACTGAAGGAGATAAATTGTATGACCTCGCACCTTACTGTTCATGTGGCAAAGTAGAAAGTTTGCCAGAAGATATGATTTTTTATCATGCAAAAGGTTGTTACTTTGTTTCTGTGGCTATGCTGAAAGAATTTTCCAAATTAGATTACATAACTCACCTCTGGTTGTTATTTTTTTAATATGTGGCCAGGTTGAAAGAGTTTGCCAAATTGTATGACCTGATAAAGACTGAGCGGAACAAATGCGTCAACCTGATTCAGACCTCAACCCAGAAAGCTGCCGAGATGAGGGAAAAAATTAAAATCTTGCAAAATGAGATTGAGATTATACGCACAGCAGCCGTACAGAAAGACAAGTGAGTACGTCGACAAATGACTTCATTTTGTACTCATTAACTCAAAATAAGAAGATTGTTTTCTCATGTTTGACCAAAATGTATTGAATCATCACTACACTGTCTCGTGTGTGACCAAAGTGTGTTGAGTTGTCACTTCACTGTCTCACCAAAATGTGTTTAGTTGTCACTTCACTGTCTCATGTGTCACCAAAATGTGTTGAGTTGTCACTTCACTGTCTCATGTGTGACCAAAGTGTGTTTAGTTGTCACTTCACTGTCTCATGTGTCACCAAAGTGTGTTTAGTTGTCACTTCACTGTCTCATGTGTCACCAAAATGTGTTTAGTTGTCACTTCACTGTCTCATATGTCACCAAAATGTGTTTAGTTGTCACTTCACTGTCTCATGTGTGACCAAAGTGTGTTTAGTTGTCACTTCACTGTCTCATGTGTCACCAAAATGTGTTGAGTTGTCACTTCACTGTCTCATGTGTGACCAAAGTGTGTTTAGTTATCACTTCGCTGTCTCATGTGTGACTAAAGTGTGTTTAGTTGTCACTTCACTGTCTCATGTGTCACCAAAATGTGTTAAGTTGTCACTTCACTGTCTCGTATGTGACCAAAGTGTGTTTAGTTGTCACTTTACTGTCTCATGTGTGACTAAAGTGTGTTGAGTTGTCACTTCACTGTCTCATGTGTGACCAAAACGTGTTGAGTTGTCACTTCACTGTCTCATGTGTGACTAAAGTGTTTTGAGTTGTCACTTCGCTGTCTCATGTGTGACTAAAGTGTTTTGAGTTGTCACTTCGCTGTCTCATGTGTGACTAAAGTGTGTTGAGTTGTCACTTCACTGTCTCATGTGTGACTAAAGTGTTTTGAGTTGTCACTTCGCTGTCTCATGTGTGACTAAAGTGTTTTGAGTTGTCACTTCGCTGTCTCATGTGTGACTAAAGTGTGTTGAGTTGTCACTTCACTGTCTCATGTGTGACCAAAACGTGTTGAGTTGTCACTTCACTGTCTCATGTGTGACTAAAGTGTTTTGAGTTGTCACTTTGCTGTCTCATGTGTGACTAAAGTGTTTTGAGTTGTCACTTTGCTGTCTCATGTGTGACTAAAGTGTGTTGAGTTGTCACTTCACTGTCTCATGTGTGACCAAAACCTGTTGAGTTGTCACTTCACTGTCTCATGTGTGACCAAAACCTGTTAAGTTGTCACTTCACTGTCTCATGTGTGACCAAAGTGTGTTTAGTTATCACTTCACTGTCTCATGTGTGACTAAAGTGTGTTTAGTTGTCACTTCACTGTCTCATGTGTCACCAAAATGTGTTAAGTTGTCACTTCACTGTCTCGTATGTGACCAAAGTGTGTTTAGTTGTCACTTCACTGTCTCATGTGTGACTAAAGTGTGTTGAGTTGTCACTTCACTGTCTCATGTGTGACCAAAATGTGTTGAGTTGTCACTTCACTGTCTCATGTGTGACTAAAGTGTTTTGAGTTGTCACTTCGCTGTCTCATGTGTGACTAAAGTGTTTTGAGTTGTCACTTCCCTGTCTCATGTGTGACTAAAGTGTGTTGAGTTGTCACTTCACTGTCTCATGTGTGACCAAAACCTGTTGAGTTGTCACTTCACTGTCTCATGTGTGACTAAAGTGTTTTGAGTTGTCACTTCACTGTCTCATGTGTGACTAAAGTGTGTTGAGTTGTCACTTCACTGTCTCATGTGTGACCAAAACCCCCTTGAGTTGTCACTTCACTGTCTCATGTGTGACTAAAGTGTGTTGAGTTGTCACTTCACTGTCTCATGTGTCACCAAAACCCCCTTGAGTTGTCACTTCACTGTCTCATGTGTCACCAAAACCCCCTTGAGTTGTTACTGTGGTTCACCAGCTCTAGACTGTTACTACATATTCTCAGCCTGACTTAATTTATAATTGTATTTGGAAAAAAAAAAGATTCGAAAAAGATCAAATATAAGTTGTCTTCACAGAATCAATAATAGTAAACAGAGAAAGGACACTGTAGTGTTAATAATTTTTGTTTTTTCAGCAGCAGTATCTTCTGAGGGAGATGGAGCACTTGTGGAAATGTCCTGAGTTCTCTGATGTTGATGTTGGATGACAGCTTACATTTTTATTGTATGGTCAGGGGTGCAGTCTCCACACCGAAGGTTGGCTGCATTGGATCTCCAACATTATCTTTTGCCGTAGATGTACACTTTCTTAGACCGCTGTTCATCCATCTCTTGATGTTATCCTATCCCTTGCATTGCTTCTGCTTCTTGCTTGCTTTCTTTCAACATTGCCCCCACTATAGAGAGTTGTGTCTTTTAATGTGGTAAAAATACTTCTCACTTTTTTTTTCAGTTTCCGTGACCAATTCTCTTTTCATTCCTAGATTTCCCCGTGTGGGTTCCGGGGTCCCATTTTGGGAAATCAAGAATCGACCTACTGCCTCCCCAACAAACATGTTGTAAGAGTCGACTAACTGGGGATTTCCTTCAAAGTCGGAGTGCATCTGCTTGAGAGGCAAGGAACCAACAGTCTGCATGAAAAATAAGTCAGAACTGTAAAGTGGATGTGCATGCAATATTCAGGTTCTGGAACAAGATTAAAGTTCAGAGGTGGCTGAACAACCAAAACCTTGTGCCGGAGTTTACAGCTGGTGAACATGAAGAAGAAGAAGTTTCCTAGACTTTTCAGAACCTCTGTGCTTGATTGTTTTTGTTTTGATATCTTCAGAACCTCTGTGCTTGATTGTTTTTGTTTTGATATATTCAGAACCTCTGTGTTTGATTGTTTTTGTTTTGATATCTTTGCTTGCTTCTTTAGGAATTTGCAGAAGCAAAGACTGAAGCATATGAACGCTATTGTGATGCGAGACTCACTTCGTAACGAGATGTCCAAGCAACAACAGCTTCAGGAGGAGATGAGAGAAAATAGAGAACAGCAGAAAATGGAAATGGCAAAGCTCAACTTGATGATCAACCAAGGGGAGGAACAGATGGTGAAACTGAGAAAAAGATATGAGGAAAATGTGCAGCATAGAAATGATAGGTGAGAATTGCTGTTTTCTTATGTTCATTTCCTTTTCACATTTGACTTCTCCTTTCTTTATAAATCTCCTGCATTGGTCCTTAAAAGGGTGAATATCCTGCATTAACTATTAAATGAGCGGTTGGCACATTATGTAGTAGTTTACTGTTAGGCTATGATATCTGCACCTTTCAAACATTCCTAATTTCAGCAAATTCCTCATCATAGTCTTTTAAGACATTCTTGTTAGGAGACTATGGATCTATTCCTTTTTTTTTTTCCTCCCCAAAATGAGACTCTGGAACTTACAAGGAGATTCTTTATAAGTAAAAATTGTGCTACTTAGAAAAGAGAGGAGGTTGCCTCACAGCTACTGAAAGGAAAATTATTTTGTCATCATTTTGACATTAAAAATTTTTGTAATTTAATGGGTAAAATTGTTCAAATTTCACACAGTCATGTGACAATTCTTTTGCATAGGGCTCTTGAATATTTGTTAGTTGTGCAGGCTTTTCCTTCACCTTTTGAAATTGGGCCATTAGATTTAAAAAAAAAAAATTTTAACAGCATACAATATCAGTTTCAACTAGACATTATACTGAGCATGTGATGTGGTAGCTGAATGGCCTGCTTGATGGTAGGGATGAATGTGAAACCCTATTAGGCCAAGTTTTTGTGTTCTAAAAACACACAACAACAAAAAACAACTAATTACAGCTCTCAGGTTAACCCAGCTTAAATTGTTACCAGGAAATATTATTGGAAGTAAATGTGGCCAGCATTCTATTGACCACATGACTCAGTGAATACAAGTTAGATTATAAAAAACGGGAATGGTACCATTGATCCACTCGGCCTCAAGTCATCGAACATGTTTCCTTTACTGTACTTATTCTGTTGTTTTTGTAAACTTGTATATGTTGAATGTTGAATTAAGAATTGTGTCGTGGTGATTTCTGTCACAGGTGTGAGGGAATGTTATGGTCCTTGTGATGTGTATGAGGAGATACTACTTCCGCCACCTCCGGCGCCAGCAGGCTCTATGCTTGGACACATGCCCCAATGTTTTATTTATGTTATAATGTATGTTTTCACTGAGCTTAGTACAGATTACATGAAGGCTAAGACTTCACACTGTTGTGAAACTTAAGCCAGAATAAAGACACAAGCCTTTCCCAAGCTTGGCACCTTATGGCCGATGGTCCCCGTGTGGGTTGTGGGGCTCCTTTGAAGAGGTGGAGGGGGTGGGGGGATAGAATAGACCCACTGCTTCTCTAACAAACATGATGTAAAAAACAACTTATTATGATGGTTTTTTCCAAGTCGGAGTGCATCTGCCTGAGAGGCAAAGCACCAACAGTCTGCATACAAATAAACCAGATCTGTAACCTGAATGTGGAACACGACCAAATTCCAGAAGAGAACAAACAACCAGAATTTTTCACCAGAGTTTACAGATGGTGAACGCAAAGAAGAAGATGGCTGATACATCACTGGGGTGAATAGGGTTGTCTACTTTAATGACTCACATACATTTTTATAGACCAACTGGCACTCAATGTAGGCAATATCTTGCTAACTGATTTGCTTTCCTCAACATTTGAAAAAATTTCAGATGACAGAGAGTTAAAAACTGTATACATAAGGGAGATGAATGGTCGTAGACTACAAGAAGACGATGGAGTGATAATGTCCAGACAGACCTGCAAGCACTGGGGCTTACTGCCTTGAAAGAGAAGGTCAGCCAGAGAGATGAATGAAGGTGGGTGATATCTGCAGCAATGAACCTTAAGGGCTCAGAATGCTGAGGAAGAAGAAGAATACAATTTCTGCCATCAATTTTTGGCCTGGTCTGCTTATGGTCCTAGGTCAATTCCTAAACCAAACAAAAGGCAACAACGACAACAACAGCAGCAACACCAAAAATACTCAATTTATTGGGAACACATACTGGCCAGAAAAGAAAAGAAAAAAAAGCAGTCCTGCAGCTAACAAGGATTAAATCTTCAGAGCTGTGTGATAATTATTGATTGTTCTAATCCTCCTGCCACTGCCGCTTCCACATTATGTGGTTGAATTGTTTTTAAATGTCTTAACATATTTCACAAACAAAAATGTGTGATTCCCTTTTCAGAGGAATAAAGCTGATAGAGAGAAATGAAGAAGTGTGTATTTTCTATGAAAAAGTCAACGTCCAAGGTGAGTGGTAACATTGGCTAACGGCCAGACTTTTGTCTTCTTCAAATGGCCAGGTTTTGAGTATTTCCTAGTGTTTTATTTAACTCATTCAGTACATTAGGGAGCCATGGCAGTATGGTGGTTAGACACTTGCCTGCCGACCCAAAGATCTTAAGTTTGAATCTGCCTCAGGATGGAGCTTAACAAGAACACAGTCAAGGATAAGAGAACAGATGCTGCAGCTGTAGTCTTTATAATTGCACATAAAAATAACATTTAAAAAATCCTTTTATGAGAATGATTTTTTATTAGATCCTCTGTGATCATCACTGAAGCTACACAGTGCATGCCTTAACCCTTTCACCCTGGTGACATAGAAACAAATTTCTGAATTTTTTATTTTTAGGATATTCCTAGAGGAAGTCCTTATAAAAATAAAAATGTTACGCATGTCATAGACAGAAGTGTTTCAAAATTAGTTTATCTATCATCCAATGTATGAGAAGTACTATACACAGTAGGGGAAGTAATCAATAAACGTTTTGCATCATAAAATCAAGTGGCTTAAATCTCTTGGGACTTGTAAACTAATTATAAAGTGACACTGATCCTGTGACCCAGTCACATTGTAACCACTGTGTTGTGGTTTATAGCCAAGCTGTGATATCTGCACTTTTCAGCCTAACATATCTGATTTCAGCAAACTCGTAACTGGTTGCCTTATGTATGTGTTGAGAGACGGTGGATCTGCCCCCCCCCCCCCCCCCCCCCCCCCCCCAAAAAAAAAATATGTGTATCCTCAAGTTGTCTTATGTTAATTCATGCAGAATAAAATTTTGCTACTCTGAAGTGCACACGTTTAGAGTTAGAAAGTGTTGCCAAAACAAGTATGTGGTGTTGAATGTGTGGAACTTGATCATTTTGTTTTGATTTGAGCTGAGGACTTCAGTCTATTGTGGTGGCTAGGCTGGCTTGGTGCTGATGTTCAAAAAGTTGTTTGTTTATAGCTGGGGTTTGCTGATTCAGTTTCCCCAGTTCTGGACTGGGAGTCCAAATGTTTACTTGCCAGCTACTGTGCTTGTTGCGGCAACAGTGAGCTGTAGATTTTGTATGGAATAATTTATTCCTGTTGTGCCCTTAGCGATTTTGTGCTGTGAACTTCACTAAAAAAAATGGGGTGGGGGTGGTGGCCAGTTACATTTGGAATAGTGTGTACTTATGCAGTACTGCAAGTGCAGTGCCAGCTTTTTAACTGCTTGCATCAACAATTGACTGTACTTCTGGCAGGAGACAGTTAGTGTCGGCACATCTAATGGCTGCTACCTTATGCATTTTACTTAATGTATGCAGGCTTCAAGATTTTGCTGAAGCTGATACGTTTTTCACTAATTTTTTATATGGGCCAGTGAAGGACATTTTGTGATTCCACTGGCACGGGAAGAGAGCATGTATGGGAAGACTTGTGTGCAGTTAAGTACCTTGACCAATGACTACAGACATTTTTTTTTTTTTTTTTGCTTTGCTTCAGATCAAATGATACGCAATGGAAATGTAGAACTCAAGAGTAGAGAAGAAGAAATCAGATTTCTTGAACTTCAGCTGCAGGAAGAGAAGAGAGCTGTCCAGCTTTTACAGAAAACCATGCCAAACAAAGTTAACACTGAAAAGGAGTTGGTTAATTTACAAATTCAGGTAAAACAATTCCAGCTACAAATAAAAAAAATAGCTGGGCAAATGGTAGTTTACTCCCTAATTGCACAAGCTTTATGTATGAAGGGCTTCAAATAAATCCTTAAGAATGTGATAACAATTACAAAATAACCGTCTTGTAATCTGTCACAGTTTGTGGTTGAGGATGCCAGGAGTGTTGAAGCATATGACATCATCATGCTAAATGAAAATGGTGATGATATAATGATGTTCAGAGATAGCTATCAGGCTTTTTGCATGCACCACAGAGGAGCAGCGTTCTGTTAACCAGTTTTTGACCAATAGAAAATCATCGGCAAATGAAGGTCTAGAATGGCAATTGTCAGTGACCTAATTTACTATAATCATTTTATATGACTCGTTATGTAGGCCAGCTAACAGACTTTCTATACCCTGGACACACTTAAGACATGCACCTGCTGAGTACAAACATAATCTTTAATGTACAATGAACAATACAGCTATAGACACCTCAACTAAGTAGGCAGTTCTTATCTGAAACGGTGGCGTTGGGCAGCTTTTACATTCACTGCTCAACCCAATCCGTCCCCATGGATTTTCAAGAAACACGACTCCTAACTAACAGTTTATCAATGCTAACTAAGCTGCCGTCTATTTCCACGCGGGACTCAGCGGCACACGTAAGGTGAATGGCCTAAGCGTGACTGGGCAGTGTTACCGCCATTAACAAAGCATGTCACACCTTCACTAACTGCTCAAACAAATACTGCATGGAATGTCTTTTATACAAGGAACATTAACTTTACACTATCTAGTCGAAACATTAAATGGAAACACAGCCTAACAAAGATACTAAGCACAAATCCTTTTGATTCTAGCCGTCACTAATCTACTGTACTTTTACCTAGTCGAAGCGCTACGCCGGGTCCGGTCCAGTGTCACTACACAACTCTCACCTGAGCCAGCTCTGAGAAAGCTTTTTGTTTCCCGCTCGCGTTCATCACTCGACACGTGGTAGTCCGTGTCAACTGTGTGAACTGGGCTTGGCCCGTTAACTGGACCCAGTTTATTCCGTGGTCAAGCTGCCCGCTCTCATACTGAGTTTTACTGAAGGTCAACTCGTTCATACATGATGATTCACTATCATCAACTCTGTTCATCCCATAGCCGAACTGGCCTCTGACATCAATGCATGCCTGTCAGTCTAGCAAGTGTGTGAATGGAGTAGGAAGTTTAAACAGCTGCAATCAACTCTGAGGTCATATCTCAGTATGCTTGACCCGGTCGTGAAAAATCTGTCACAGAAGATACGCCGGTTTTAAATTTAAGGTTTTTATTTGACATCCCCAGATATATGTAAACAAAAAATTGCTCTCTTTACTGCCTGCGTTTATCACTTTATAGTGTGGTGCCGGACAGTGAGCTCTTGGGCCTCAGTGTTTAGGTCCATATGGCTAGTGCAGTCGCCATGAACTGTGCAGTATAGGATTTTATTTTTGCCTACAACAGGAAAAAATCTCTCACCTTAATGAGGATTCAAACACCTCGGTATTCAGGAGAATTTCTAATACTATTATCTTCTTCTTCTTCTTTTTCTTCTTCTTTGCATTCACCTTCTTCAAACTCCAGGTGAAAGTTGTGGGTGTTTGTCAGACTCTTGCTTCCTTGCCTCTCAGGCACATGTACGACTTCGAAGAATGCCCCCAATTCGTCAACTCCTACAACATGCTTGTTGGGGAGGCAGAGAGTCTATTCTTGTTTTCGCTGGAACTCACATGGGGAAGCCAGCTGCTTTGTTTTAAAAACATTTCATTAGTAAAAATTTTATTCTGTGGTCAGAAATATTTGACAAAATGGAACAGCTAGCTCACATGAAATTTATATTCTTTACCATATTGGGTCTTTTGATTGTTATAACATCAAGAAAATCAATGGACACATCTATTCTATTCAGTGTTGGGAAATGTTTTATGTTCATCATTTTTCATATGTTCTTACTAAAGATAATCTGGAAATTTGGTTTGGAAATACAATTTTGAGTTACCTGAGTGCAGTCTGGCAGCTGTTCCCTTGACCATCACCTTTCCTGCCCTGATCATAATCAGATAATTCTGGAAATTATCTGGTACCCATTTTGATGAGACTGGTCAATTACAGAGATAAACTGGCTGGGAACAATCTACCACATTTAGGGATTGACCCAGACTCCTCGTGTGGGATCTGGGACCCATTTTGGGTAGGGCTTGGAGTGAGGATGGGGTGGGGGATAAGGCCACTGCATCTCTAATAAAGATGTTCTACAAGGCAACCAATTGGGGGGTATCCTTTAAAGTCGGAGTGAGTCTGCCTGGGAGATGAGGAACCAACAGTCAACATAAAATAAGCCAAATCTGTAAAATGGATGTGCACGCAAAACTCAATATCTGGAACAAGATAAAAATTCAGAAATAGACCAACAGGGAGAATCTTCCGTTGCAGTTTACAGCTTGTAAACGTTAAGAAGAAGAAGAAAAATCCAGACCATTGTCTGGAGAAGCAGGTGCACTTACAACAGTGTAGTTATAATTGCATATCTATGTTCTGGTTTAATGTGGCCCCTGACTGTTCTACTTGCCAGTTACAACAATGCCAGGATCTTGTGATCGGTCTGGAGAAGCAAGTGCACTTACAGCAATGTTGTAATTGTATATCTATGTTCTGGTTTAATATTGTCCCTGATTGTTCTACTTGCCAGTTACAACAATGCCAGGATCTTGTAATTGGCCTGGAGAAGAACCTGGAAAATCCCTTTGATGAAACAAGAGTGAGGTATCTCCCTGGGAAAGACCTGGCACCTTTAGAGATACAGAGAAAGGTGGAAGAGGTATGATAGAAGAGTTGTATGAAAGGAGGATGGGATGAAATGAAAGAGGTATGGTGGGACATTGGTATGAAGGCAGAATGGTATAAAGAGAGGGAGATTAATCTAGAGAGATAGAAAGGGAGAATGGTATAAAAAGAGGGAAGGAAGAGACATAAATTAAGAGAGGTATGAAGGGTGAATAGCATGAAGGGTGAGACATATAAAGTGAGAGAGCTAAAAAAGTGAGATGTAGCCATTGCGGCTGCTTGTGGTCATTCATTTACATGTAAACTGCTTCCTTGCCCTCTGATATTACTGCGAAAGTGCTTGAAGTACTCTGGCCCTATCTTTCAATAATGGGGCCAACAGCACAATGATTTTCTACTTAAGAAATCAAAAAAGTCACTTTGATGATTCGGGAATTTAAAAAAAACTAATCTTTCATTCGTATTTGTATCGGTGTTTTTAAGGTCAATAATTGTCTTTGTCTGGTAAAGATTTTGCCTTCAAATTTGGTTTATTTCTGTTACAATAATTATGTGACACATTTTCTTCTGTTTCTTCTTCGTGGTCACCGGCTGTAAAAGCCAGCAGCAATTTCTAGTTGCTTATTCACGTCTTGTTCCAGAACTTGAGTTTAGCATGCACCTCTGTTTTACAGATCTGGCTTATTTGTATGCAGACTGCTGGTTGCTTGCCTCTCAGGCAGATGCACTCCGATTTAGAAGGAAGCTCCCAATTAGTTGACTCTTACGACATGTTTTTGGGTAGTCAGTGAGTCTATTCTCCCCCCCCCCCCTTTCCCACTATAATAGGGCCCCGGAACCGACACAGGGAGTTCCCTATGTGGGTTCCTGGGCTCCATTATGGGTGGGTGGGTGGGGGGTGGGAACAGACCCACTGCCTCCCTAACAAGCTTGTTGAAAGAGCAGACTAATTGAAAGCTTCCGTCAAAGTCAGAGTGCATCTGCCTGAGAGGCAAGCAACCAGCAGTCTGCATACAAATAAGCCAGATCTGTAAAATGGATGCACACACAACACTCAGGTTCTGTAACAGGGCTGCAGTCCAAAAGTGAATAAACAACTAGAACTTTCCGCCAGAGTTTACAGCTGGTGAACGCGAAGAAGAAGAAGAAAAAGACATGAGGAATGACACATTTTAAATAAAAGTTTACTGTTTACAGATATGTTAATGTATTCTAAAATGAATTTTATAATCAGCTGGAAACAAGATTGGCAGAGAAGGAAGAAAAGTTGCTGGAGAAAGATCTTGTCTTAGATCAAGTTGAGAGAGTTCTGGGTCGAGTTCAACATAAGGCAGAGGCAGGCAGAACTGACACTTTGAACTTGGCCAAAAATGTGAGTCTTTCACTTTCTTCTTCCCCTTTCTCTTTATTTTCTTCATCCCTATCTTATCCTTCTTCTTCTGTGAATGTGTTTGTATGTGTTTGTCTGCACATTTATGAATGCGATATATAACATATTTAATGCATGTTGTGAAAGCCGTGGTAATGTAGTGACTAGGTGCTCACCTCCTGCTCCAAAGGTCTTGGGTTTAAATCCACATTGAGGCAGATTTGTTTAAAGTTGATATTGAGAGATCTATTAATGGAAATTATATGAAGTGTGAATGGTAAAGGAGTGTTCATTTCTCACCCTTCCTACCTCTCTTCCTTCATAACCACCTCACTCAATTCATTTCCCCTCCTCCCTACCATCTTCCAGGTTGACCCAGCCTAAATTTGGTGCAGGTTATGTCCTGGGAAGTAAAGGTGGGTGGTATGAAGTTTACTATATTATCCACCGAGAACCTATTGGTCTATAAAAATTAGTCGAGCATCACTATTCCCTTGGGCCACAGGCATAAAAAAAGGATCCTTTCTTTAGTCCATATTGTTTATGCGTTCGGCTTTCAAACTATTTTATGTATTGCACAGTCAATTTAATATGCACAAAACTCAACATATAGTTACTATGTGAAGGAGGAATGGTTAGAAATGTTTAATGTAAGACAAATCTGTGTATTCAGTTAATGATGACCATTTGAAAATAAAATTTGTTCTTTATGTTCTTCCTACTTTTTCCTCATCTTTTTCCTTCTCCTCCTTTTCTTTTCCCCTCATCTTTCCCCTCCTAACATTCATCTGTATTTTTGCTGTATTTTCACGCACTAGTATATTAATTTATTTTGTATTTTCTTAAGTAAAGCAGTGATTTATTTTCACACATATAATTCTCCTTCTGTTCTTCCTCCTCTGCCTTATTCTTTTTTTTTTTCCCTTTTTCTTTTTCAAGTAGTTAAGCTATTAGCCATTGCCTACATCTTAGCTATTCAACTCAGTTTACTCAGAAGCCAGAATTTAGAAAATAGCGATCATGACAGGCTCCCCAGCACAGACACATCATTAATATAGTACAACTGGCAATGATCTGTGGGCCTCCACTGGCCAGATTTAGGCCATGGCCTGCCTGCTGAATAACCCTGGCCCACATTACCCTTTGTTATTCTGTTTCTTCATGCACAAATTAATGATGTACACTAGTGGTCCCCTACAAGCTGTAACCTGCAGACACATTATATGTTCAAAGGTCTGCCATAGACCCTACATTTTTTACAGTCATACTGAAGAACTTATGATAATTTATAAATATTACAATCAATTTTATGAGAATAAAAGGATGATTTTCTAAATTTGTGGGTCCAAAACACACATTTTGTTGTTGTTGTTATTTCAGTGCCCCACGCCTAGCTATTGTCAGGGACCCTAAATATAACCTAACAGGTTTCTGGGACATACACCCCAAGTGATTCTCATCTGAATGGTGGTACTTTGTGTCACTGGATGTTTACCACTCATCATGCGGTCTTGAACCACAGTCAGTCAGTCAGTTTGAAGGTGTTTTTTTTAATGGTGTGGGGTTGGGGGGGGGGGGGGGGGGGGTTGATATCATGGTCACCTTTTATTTGTTGATTGAACCCCCAGGGTCCAGACAGGAATGAGTGATGTACAAGGTTCTTAAGCATTTGCTACATGACCACAAAGTGTCCAGTTTTCTTCTGAGAAATATGAAGCTAGAAGGAGATAACTATATATAATATCTATATTTATAAATAAATATGTCAGATCTGCAAAATGGATGAGCACGCATCACTCAGGTTCTGGAACAAAACCGATGAGCACGCATCACTCAGATTCTGGAACAAAACCGATGAGCACGCATCACTCAGATTCTGGAACAAAACCGATGAGCACGCATCACTCAGATTCTGGAACAAAACGGATGAGCACGCATCACTCAGATTCTGGAACAAAACCGATGAGCACGCATCACTCAGATTCTGGAACAAAACGGATGAGCACGCATCACTCAGATTCTGGAACAACACCGATGAGCACGCATCACTCAGATTCTGGAACAACACCGATGAGCACGCATCACTCAGATTCTGGAACAACACCGTTGAGCACGCAACACTCAGATTCTGGAACAAAACCAAGTCCAGAAGTGGACAAAGAACAACAAGAACTTTCTGCTGAGTTTCCAGCTAGTGAATGCATAGAAGAAGAACTGATGTGCATAGTTCTCAAGCACTTCCTACAGAATTTCCAGATTTATTCTGAGAATTGTGAAGTAAGAAGGAGATAATGACCAGATGGTTTTTCACATTATACATTTGACCGTTGTTTTGAACAGGTGAATGAAATACAAGCCAGAATCAAAGACATCACTCGCAAAATGATGGCCGTGGTGTCGGAGCTCTCAATGAATCAAGCCCAGGCGATGAAGCTTCAGCAGGAAGTGAAAGAGAAGGAGGCTGAACTAGAGCAGTGCTACTTGAGGATGGAGAAAGGAGAGCCTCCATCGCAAGAGATTGAGTTGGAGTGGTTAAAGTTGGTGTGGAGTGCACAGAGGAGCATAGAAGAGCAAGAAGCCAGGAGACAGGTAAAAATTCTTCTTCTTCTTTTTCATTTTGCCTTTAAAAGATGGTTGGCATGTTATGGTTTACAGCTAGGCTGTGATTTCTGTGTCATTCAGCCTAACATGTCCCTTAATTAGCTAGTTTTTACGACATGTTTGTTAAAGGGCCGCAAGCTTTTTTTTCTTCTTCTTTTGCAACATGGATTGTTTTCTTCAGCTGGAGTGCATCTGCCTCAGACGGGAGAAGCTGCATAAAATTAGCCAGATCTTTCAAATCGGTTCGCTTGTAAAACCCACATTTTGGAACAAGATTTAGTCCAGGGGTGGACAAACAAACAGAACTTTTCATCGAAATTTACATACGGTGAATGGCAAGAAGAAGATGTCAATTCATAGTAGCAATGAGTCCTGTCTATTTACTGTTGCAGGAGCAAAAGAACTGTTCTCCCTGTGCTAGTTTAGACCATGCCCAGAGGTGTTGTGGAGAGTTGCAGTTTGTACCTTAGTACAAGATGTGTTGTACTCTGAGCTCTGATTGGCACTTCGCCTAGGAGGGAAGCTATGACAGCACTGCTTTTCTGATCCAGCAGTGTCTGAAGCTTGCTTTGTTCGAGGCGTTTTGGTGTTACCTTTCCTTTGGGGGGAAAAGGCAGAGAGAAGGATCATGCTGCTTGGGCATCACATGGTTTCTTCAGTACTGCCCAAGCTGTGTGCTATGGAGAGGATCACCATGGGCTGTGACTCCTACTCTTCCCTACAGCACAGCTGTAGGTACTTAGGGCCATTTTTGCAGGGTCAGTTTTCATGAGATGACCAAGCCATTTTATTCTCCATACAATCAGTATATATGGTCTCACTGTCCCTATTGGGTAATAAAAGTGACATCACTGCAAGATATCTGGAAATGCCCAAAATGTCTCAATTTTTCTCAGAATATAGTTTGGTATACCGACTCCTGTCATCCTCTAGTTTAGCTGTTCTCAATCACAGGGGTCGCCTAAGACCATCAGAAAACACATATTTTTTGAAGTTACAAAGGAAAATAATTGTTTAGAAGTAGCCACAACGTGAGGGAATGGTGTTAAAGGGTCGTAGCATTAGGAAGGTTGAGAGCCACTGTTCTAGTTAGAAACACATATAGTATGTCCCCACAATCAAACTGTAGCCAGAGGGAGAGGAAAAGATTGGTACACAGAGAGAAAGAGGCACAGGGGAGAGACAGAATGAAGGAGGAAGATAAAGATCAGTAGGCAGCGACAGAGAAGGGAGGAGGAAATGAGGCGAAGGTGTGAGAAGAAGAGGCAGGTAGGAAGATGGAAGGAGGAGAGAGGAAGCAAACAAAAGAGAGTACGAATGAGGGACACAGAAAGATATATATCAAAAAGGTAAGTGAAGATGATATGAAAAACAGTAACTATTGCCCAGTTATTATCAGCTGAGATTGCAGAAGCAGAGGTCGACCACACTAGTAGTGGATAGATGGAATATTTGATGCTGTAAATACCATCAAATACGTAACACATACCAAGGTTTGCACCCGACTGCCTTATTGAAACCTGATGTTCAAAGACAGAATAGGACTAGAGGAGGAGGAGAAGAAGAAGGAGGAGAGGCAGCAGAAGAAGCAGCAGCAGATGAAGCAGCAGCAGAAAAAGAAGAAGATAAAGAAGAACCAGAAGAAGAAGAAAAAGAAGAAGAAGAAGGAGGAGAAAGAGAAGGGAGAGGAAAAGTGGGAGGAGGGGAGAAAAGGAAGAGCAGCAATAGGAGGAGGAAGAAGAGGAAGATGAAGAGAAGAAGAAGGAGGAGGAGGAGGAAAAGGGGAAGGAGGGGAGAAAAGGAAGAACAGGAATAGGAGGAGGAAGAAGAGGTAGAAAAAGAAGACGAAGAGAAGAAGAAGAAGAAGAAGAAGAAGAAGAAACAGAAGAAGAAAAAGAAGTTGAGAGGAAGGGGAGAGAGGAGGAAGAAGAAGAAGAAAGTCACAGGTGACAAACACCTGAATATTCCAAATTTCTAGAAAAAAGCTAAAAATCTGAGTTTTACTTCTTGGTTGACACTAATCACAACTGCCCAGAGACCATGTGTATATTTATACAATTATATTTTCATCAGATGGAAGAGGAAGAGGCCCTATACCAGACAGCAGGTGGCATGTACACTACGGCTGAGCCTCGACCCAATGCCTACATTCCTACAGATGAGAGTGAACTTCCCATACCACGACCATATGGTGGCCATGCTCCATTCAAACCAACTGAGCAAGGTTCCACTATGAGACATATTAGAAAACCAGTTCCAAAACCTATAGAGATTTAGTCTTCAACTTTTCCACTATCATCCACTTTGTTCTTGGCCTTTTCCATTGTTATCCACTCCATTCTTGGCCTTTTCCATTGTTATCCACTTCATTCTTGGCCTTTTCCACTGTTATCCACTTCATTCTTGGCCTTTTCCATTGTTATCCACTTCATTCTTGACCTTTTCCACTATCATCCACTTCATTCTTGGCCTTTTCCATTGTTATCCACTTCATAATCATTTTTACTATTCACAAAAATTTAAATAAATTACAGTAACCATGTTATTTGTCTTGCAGTCTGTTAATATTATTGTAAAGGATGTCAAGAGTGTTAAGCACATATCATCATGGTGCAAACTAGTGACATTATAATGACAGTTTAAAGATGGCCACCATACTTTTGGCATGCATCAAAGATGAGCAGTGCTCTGATATTATTATTTTTTTGGGGGGTTTTCTTTGTTGGTGTCATTTTAACATAGCTCTTTGTTTCCAGTCTTTCGCTAATTTTTCCCCAAGACAGGATCATTCTAGATTTTTTTCAATCACTTGATGCTCTTTTCTCTACTCATATTTTTCTCCACTACTATCTAGTACTTCTCATCATCATGATGTGCCCTGCCAGGCGGCGTAGGCACTCATGTCTCTCCACTGATCTCGGTCCTTGGTGTTTTGATGCAAGTGTAAACATTTTTGCTGTAAATTTATTTGTTATTTATATTCAGGCACAATGCTTGCCATGGATCAGAAGATCATGGGTTCGCTGCCTGGCGGAGCCAGACTATTTTCAAAAAGGACCTTGGCTCCCAGGTCGACCCAGCCTTGAGTGGGTACTGGGTGCAGTCCGGGGAAGTAAAGGCGGCCGGTGTGATGCTGACCACATCAACCATCTTAGTCTATAAAAATATAGGTCTAGCCCTATATGCCCTATACGCCTAAAGGTGTAGAAAAGGGTCCTTGATATTCAGGCACAAGATGTAAATGTATTTTGTTATTTATATACTGAAAAGATGTAAATGTATTAAGTTTATGTTAAGATGCATGATGTAAATATATATTGTCATTCATATTGAAATAAATGTTAAAGTAGTCTTTTGTCATGGAAGTATAGTGTCATTTATATTCAAATGTGTGATGTCAGTAAGCATGTTCTGTTATTTATATTTACATTTGTACTTGTAAGAAGAAGCTGAAATACTTTGGCCATATCAAGCACCATGATGAATTGGGAAAAAAAATAGATGGCACGGTGCCAGGAAGGAGGGGCAGGGGTCGACTAGCGCAAAGATGGGCACAGGATATAAGTGACTTCTTGGGTATGAAAGTGAGTTAGGCAGGAGAGCTGATGCTTGTTTTGTTCGTGTATGTTATATTGTGAAGCTTGCTGATAAACTTTACTTTCGGGTTTATATCTTTCCCTTCTACATGATAATGATGTATAAGAAAGTGTAAGACATTTGTGAGAACCAAGTGAGGACTGTGATCTGCAACCATGGCCAGACAGACTGCAAGAACAGCATGTTAAAACAGGTTGTGGCCAGACAGGAGCATTACAGGGGAAAGCTAAACAACCAGCACAGAATGGGTGTCGTCAGCCGCTACATGCTGCCAGATTTACTGAGAAGAGGACTGATTGCTTCCATGTGCAATGAGGATGATCCTTCGAATAACTTAAGTGTCATAAACAGACAAGGGCGTTGATGATATAGGATTAGGGGGTAGATGAAGTAGAGGCTTGCTCTTCATACAGTCTGCAATGAATTAGTCTCTACCAATCGCTGTCATTAGTGGACGGTTTCATCTTCACGGCAGATGTGTCACCACATAATTTCTTCGGTCCTATTCCATCAGAAAATCACACCAAATGCCTCTCACAGCCCCATGTAAAAAAGTCAAACAGACAGCAGCCCTGGCAAATCCAACAGCTCACATGCACATTAAATGCATAGGGCAGCTATCAGTGGTGCCAACACCAACAGTCTGTCACTAGAATTACAGTTCATCACTGTTGGAAGCAGCCGTCAAAACAAAGCAGACGCAGCACCCACATTATAAGGCATACTCTAGGAGGGATTACATATAATTTTACTAAGATAATGAGGACTGTTTTTTTATTTTTTTTTTATTCTTTACTAGTGAAAAATGATCTTTTGGGCCATCAACATTTTTCGAAAAAACTTACTCAATATGACCATCTAAGGTGTTTTAGGCATTCTTCTACAAAACCACATTTCAATGGCCTCGACTGTTAACGATTTTTCTTCTTTGACTGGTATTGACCTGTGTTGTTGTTTGGGTTTACTCATTCTTTGCCCAGCGCTTTAACACAGTATTAAAGGTTGTTCCATTATACACATCACATTCACATGTATTCAACACTAGCAGCGGCAGCAGCAAAAAAAAAAATAAAATAACAACACACACACACACACAAACACATCACAACGGCACATACAACCACAAAGCCACAAGAGTTACATTAATCTCTGATTTATTACATCATGTTCTTTTATTTAATTACAAAAAATAAACTTGCTAAATCAGCTATACAGTAACAAAATAGACATTGCCACCTCGTGGCAGACAACATTGGCTATAGTAATGTGCAATAAATTAAAAAACATTTTTTGCATCGGACAAAATCGAGAACCACCCTGGAGACAAGCACATCGGCCCACATCTACATATGGAGAACCCATATAAAATAAATATTTACAGATAAAAATTTACAACTAAAACAACATATAAAAAGGATATAAAATGACAATATGTTTTCTTTAAAAAAAAAAAAAAATCACTGTTTTTAGAGAGAAAAACATCACTGTTTGTTTTCCTCTGTAAACATAAAAATCTGAAACAGAAAAGAAATAAAAACCAACATGATCAACTTCCTTACATTTGTTCGTTTTTTGTTTGTTTGTTGTAATTCAACAACTGTGCAACTGTTGTTTATGAAGTGCCTGTTTTTAACACGCCTGCCTTTTGATACTGGACAAACGCATTCATTAGCCACCTTCAAGTACTGTGTGTTTAGTTCTGTAGATCTCATAAAAACTTCAGACCCACTCTCCATAGGTTTCTTCCATCATCATCATCCTTTCTTCAGATTTCATAAAAGCTTCACAACCACAGATTGTATCTATCTTTATCATCATCATCATGAGTGTGTCTGAAACCTGGCATTAAAGTTGCTACCCTATGCCCCACCATAACTTCCCTTGTCTAAGCAGCTCTTCCACCCAGCATGGGACACCTGTGGCTTAGGCGTGTGAACATGTTTCAAAGTGCCAGGATGCTAGCTTTGATCCCAGCTGCAGGCAATCTGGCAGCAGATCACTTTGCATTGGTTTTAACAGTGGTATCCAGAGTTGACCACACACAAACTGAAAGTAAATTTGCCTTGAAGAACTCTGCCAGAAGGCAAGAAACAGGGTTCTTGACTTCACTTACAACTCAGCATAAATTTCAACAACATAGATCCGGCATGTTTATGTGGGTTATCTTTCTTGTGGACACCCACTAGTGTAGTTTCGACAAGTATTACTAGTGGGACACTGCAGCACTGACCCATTTGAAAAACAATCTTGACTACAAATTCCCACCTATCCTAGCACTCATCTCAACTATTTAATTATGGTCTAGAAAGAAAAGAAAAAAAAAAAAGAAAGCAACAATTTTGTATCTAGCAAGTTATAATAAAATCTCAACCCCCCCCCCCCCCCCCCCCTAATTTTTTATTGAGTTACTGTAAAATGTAACTAACAAACAACTGGTTGACATCTAGAAACACACACGTCAGTAACAAATTGCTAAATGAATGGCAGTAAAGAAGCCTTGTTATGCCAGTGGTGCATCAGGCATATGATGCTAAAATGTTATAGCTCAAACGTCAACACCACGCTGGCCACCTTTACTTCCCAGGACATCACTTGTGACCCATTTTTAAGCTGGGCTGACCGACCTGAGAGCTAAGGTCAATTCTGAAAAGAAAACAGGAAGAAAGCAAAAAAAATGCCTGTAAAATTGGCAGACACCAGGTAAATTAAGTAGTCGGTTTCGACAGAAATTGGTGATAACATTCTTTGACTGTAAGAACAACAGATTGTTTCAGATGTAAGTACACAGTGCCCTTTATATAAAAATGAAAGTACACAGTGCCCTTTATATCAAAACGAAAGTACACAGTGCCCTTGATATCAAAACCAGGAAAAGTGTCCTGAGTCACCAACTAGACAGCCAGTCAATCATCACATGCCAGTGTTATAACTGCTGAAACACTGTCACTTATCTCAGAAAATAATCTAATGCCTAGTCTAGTGTGTCCGTCCTTCTATCTGCCTACCTCTTTCTACAAGTGCCAATCAATACATGCCTATTTGTTTATCCTAAGAAAGGTTTATGGCTAACAAACCACAACAAAATTGACAAAACTACAGTAAACTATCCTTAACCCGTCTTTTCCGACTGTATTTACCAATTTTAGGGCGGCTTAGGATATACAGAAGGGGGAGGGGTATTGAGTCTGAGGATTTAAGGCCGCACAGCTTGATCTGTGCAACTCGTTTGTTTTTGTTTTTTGGGGGGCCCTGACCAGGTAAAAAAAAAAACTTACTGGGGATCGAACCTGGGTCTCTTGTATTTTAGCCCAGAACTCTAAAACACAGCCAGCTAACTCCCTAACCTCCAGCAAATGATCGATATAGTGTAGTGCTAATCCAGGACTGTTCCGATGTATGTAGTTTCCGTTTCACGTTTAACATAACACTCACTTCAGAGAGTGATAGCAAGGACAATGAATTTTTAAATGTACACTAAAACGCAAAAGACAGGAAATTCATTTAGTTCCTCTCTACGATGCTTTATGGCATAGGCAGTAGGAAAGAAGAAAAGAAGAAAAAGAAGACTTAAAATACAGAGGTCTTGACACTGACCTAATTAAACGGGATCAGTGGACAGTGATTAACAATTAACACTCCTCTTTGGCTGTACTCTGAATGGCACTCAGGACAACTGTCTATTTTAGACCGCAGAAAACCTGAACTACCAACATTGTACAGTGGACAACTGAAGCACTGCTGGGACAATTTTAGCACCAATAGAATTTCAGAACACTTCTCTGAATATATGCAATAAAACATCTGTATGGCTATGAATATTCTTCTTGTGGTGCTCGTTGATAGGTTAAAAGATAAACTGTTGTTATCGATGCCCTTCCCCTTTTTTCGTTGAGCTTCCTGGTCACAGTTGGGTAAATTCATTTAATGATACAACATGGAGGCCGGGTTCCAGCAGAGGCAAACTTCTAATGCACGCATGCAGGCCGCATCACACACATGCACACACCTGACTCATACAGACATGCCTCACACATCCCATTCATACATACTCACCACTTATGCAGACAAGGCTCACTCCCGCAGATACATCCTACACACCACACCTGCAGATACATCCTACTCACTATTCATGCAGATACCTCCCACTTACCACTCATGCAGATACATCCCACTTACCACTCATGCAGATACGTCCCACTCACCACTCATGCAGATACATCCCACTTACCACTCATGCAGATACATCCCACTTACCACTCATGCAGATATCTCCCACTCACCACTCATGCAGAAACATCCCACTTACCACTCCTGCAGATACATTTCCCCTCACCACTCATGCAATTACCTCCCACTCACCACCTGTGCAGATTCATCCCACTCACCATTCATGCACACATTACTCCACTCACATGCTCACTACTCCTGCAGCGACACCCCACACATTCACCTGTGGAAACACACACTACAAGTGGAGAAAAAAACACTACTAGAGGGAAACAGTTGTGAACACAAACTAGCCATGTTTGAGTTTACAGAAACAAATACAAAACAAACTGTAACAAAAGGCATCCAGTAATATGCTAATCAGGATTTAACATTGGTGTTTACTATTCACAACTGAATATGGGAAAATACAAACATGGAATTGCTTCTTCTTGTAACTGTTTTCAATAGAGAGCTATGTACATAACCTATACAGGTCCAAATTTAACAGCATAAACCCGTAACATAAAATGTATCGCCAGCATATTCGATTCATCAGCATATTCTATCACAACTTTATATGCTCTCTCTCTCTCTCTCTGTTATGTAACACAGGCATAAATATATTCACTAACCAAACCTCTGCTTCCCTACAGTCCCACTCCATCTCTGCCAAACACCTAACTCAAATATGCAATTATTAGGTAATAATATACAATGTGTTAAACAAACTTCCAGATTTAAAAAAAAATACCAGCTATCACAAAAAATTAATGGACTCTTTAAGAGAAAATGGACAGCTAGACAACATTTTAAAAACAAGTCTCACAGACAGAATACACATATTTGATGCAAATGTTACACAACCTAACTTCTTCTTCTTCGCGTTCACCAGCTGTAAACTCTGGCTGAAGGTTCTAGTTGTTCGTTCACAACCAAATGGAAATACGTTGTTCTTATGCACGGTGTCAGCATCACCATCATCATCATCATCATGTCCTGTGCATCACGCGTCTCTCTCTTCTTCTTTTTCTTAGTATTCAACTGCTGTAAACTTCAGCGAAAAGTTCTGGTTGTTTGTCCAGTTTGGTCCTATTCCAAAACTTGTTTTGCATGCACACCCATTTTACAGATCTGGCTTATTTATGTGCAGACCATTGGTTGCTCATATCTCAGACAGATGCACTTCGACTTCAAGGGATATACTCACCTTTTATAACATGTTTGTTAGGGGGTCCATTTACACACACCCCCCCCCCCCCCCCCCCCCCCCGCGGGGGCCCCAGACCTCACATAGAGCCTCTTTATCACTTTCAGAAAGATTCCTTATCTTAATCTAGTTTCTCTGCTTTAAACACTCTCACACCAAAATGTCTTCAATATCCTACATCCACTTTTGTCTTTTGGCTGCTTGCCATGTCTTCCAGCAACACTTCCTTGCTTCACGAACATATACTACTGACTACATCGCTCCCCCAATATCACCTTTCTACTGCATCATTATGCTGTGAACCAACACCTCAAAACGTGTTGTTTTAGAATTTATAAAACTGTGGAACTGACATTTCATGCAGGGCTTGGTAACCAAATGTCTTGAGATATTTAATTCGATTAATGAGACAGTCAACCAAGATTAGGCAATAACAATTTTTTTTTAATACATGCTTTGGGTCTGCACATAAATTAAAATTAAAATATTTTTATGAATATCCAAAATACTATGACAGTACAATTTAAATTCAGGATTGACTGAGAGGTATAACCTGAAAATACAGGACACGGAGGTTCAACAGCCAGTCTTCAATGTGGAGATGGCACCTGATGGTGACAAGATCATTCTTTAAGAGAGGAAAGGTGAGTGAGGAAGAGAGCTGGCTCTCTCATACAATAACAACACATGGAACTTGTATTTCTATACCTTATTAGCTGCCTTAACTACAGCAGTATAAAGGCAATGAATGACTTGCAGCACAGCTTGAAATGAACCAGCCAGCTCACTCTGCCTTCTTTGGCTAGGGCTAAATGAAGATCACTTTACAGAACTCATATATCTCCTTTAAGAGCTTAGTCTCCTCCCATATATCATACAAGGAGGTTCTCAGCACTGAGCACAAACTCTGCAGTACTGGAAGGCATCCAAATTTGTGAACACCAGAATCCCTCATTCTAAATTAGTTTGCGGATAGATTTTCTCATTTGAAATCTACCTAGGTAGCTGTTTATTCTTCTTATTCTTCTGCCTTCTATCAACTAATAAGGCATAGGACCTCCACCAACTCATGCCAAGTTGTTCTATCCTTCACTATTGTATCCAGCTCTCCCTATATCTTCCTCATCTTTTAACTTTACTCTATAGCTTCCTTCCCCCATGTGTTTTTCAGTCTTCTATTTCTATGCCATCTTGGGTAAAGAAAAGAACAAATGCATCCATACTTCAAGAGCTGAATATTGAAGAGGGTTGGCTAGTAAAGACAATAAAACAAAGAAAATTGAAATATTTTGGTCACTTGAAACGTCATGGAAGTCTAGAGAGAACAATAATGGAGGGGTATATGCCTGGGAAGAGAGGAAGAGGAAGGCCAAGGAGAAGATGGGTGCAGGATGTGGCAGATGATCTCCAGATGGGTGTATCAGACGCAGGACATCTTGCTCAGGATAGGAAGGTTTTCCGGAGGGTTGTTATGGCAGCGAGGTTCCGCGAGGGACATGCTACTGAATGAATGAATGAATTTATATGCCCCTGTGTGTACCTGTGCAAATACATTCTAGTTACAATGTTCCAAGGTTATCTCAATGTGTGTCCTATCCAACGCCAGCGCCTTTTCTTCACCTCTTGATCCCCTGAAACTTGTTTAGTTCTCTCCCAAAGCTCTACAATAGTGATTCTATCATACCATTTCATTCCCTCTATTCTGCGCAGGTACATGTTAATGTACACGGTTTTTTTTTAGTAGCTGTCTTAGTTGTAGCGGCTCATTCAACTTGATATTTAAAAATTCCTGCCAGGTGTGGGAGCCTTAGTTGTAGCGGCTCATTCAACTTGATTTTAAAAATTCTTGCCACGTGTGGGATTTGTGTTAGTGTCGTTTTCTCCAGACTTATTTATATGCACCCAATCCACTATCTCATGAGGTCGCATTCCTTTTGATTTGATCTGACTGGAGACTGACAATAATCTGCTTTGACCTCATCAATGGACTAGTCTCCCGTGTGCATTCTGGGGCCCCATTTTTCAGGAATAAGAACACACCCACTGTCACTGCTCCCTAACAAGCATGTCATAAAAGGCAACTAATTAAGGAACTGCTGAAACCGGATGTGTTGGGAGGAAAAGGCAGATATCACAGCCTAGCTGTAAACCACTACTCAATAGCAGAGTTGAAAAACAAATTTAAAAAAAAAAAAAGCTTAATATAGCCAATGACTTAAAATGTATCTCAATATATAATTCATCAAGTTTTTTAATTTTCTCAATGACAGATGTTCAGACACTCAAGGACATATGATACACGTATGCTTAAAAAAAAAAACAGTATTTACTATACATTAACGTTCTTCCTTCTCAGCCCTCGAGGTTCGTTGCTGCAGATGTCAACAGCCACCATTATTCAATTCTGATTGGCCCTCATTCCATCGGTGACTTGAGTGTTTGTAGGTCTGAATGTATATTATCCAACAAAAGTATGACAATGCAGACATTCACAGAGTTCAATGAAAAAGGCCCGCATTTGTTTTTTCTACAGGGAAATAACTTTGTATTGGAACCCACACTCAAGGAGAAAACTAAACTGCAACTAAAGCACTGAACTATGTGGTGGATCAAACAAAACATGCAATGCAAAGAATGATGCATTAAAAAAAATCAGCAAATAATCTGTAGTTTTGTTGGGGAAAATATAATCACAAAATGTACAGAATACAGTGACATGACTCTTATTATGCCATTTACAACAACAATGAGCTGTTTGCCATTTGTAAGGGTAAGCAAAATGGGGACACTGACTTCATACACTGGCAGTGAAGATGAAAAATTATTGTTTTAAAGTATGGATTTCCAATATTTAAAAAGATCTGAAGATCAGTTCTCTTTACAATCAAAGTATAATGGTAATGACTGCAGCAAGATGTAGCTGGAAATGTTTAAATTAGAGTCAGCCATTTTATGTATTTTATCACAATCAAGGACACTGCATACTGGGAATCCCCAATGGTGCCCAGCTCTCCAAATGCAGCAGGCACTCCAATGAGCATTGCCCTGTGTTCTCAGGAGAAGCTGATATTTCCTGTCTTGACCTCAAAGATGTCGTTTAAACATGCCTGGCCAGACTTCACAAACCAGCTATGTAGTCAGGTTGGCATCAAAAGAACTGTCTGCATTCTTCAGCCTAGACCCAACAGACTAGCAATGACTATATCAGCTCTCTGCGTGAGTCTTCTTGTATCAGTGTACTGTTTGTCAGCTTGTCTGTATCCAATAGACTAGCAATGACTATATCAGCTCTCTCTGGGAGTCTTCTTGTATCAGTGTACTGTTTGTCAGCTTGTCTGTACCCAATAGACTAGCCGCCCATACAGCACTGAACACATAAAGCAGTGAAACACGCCAGGCAAGTTGTGCAGCAGACTTTTAATGTCCTCATCAGCACCATTTCAAGTCAATATTTTCTTATTTCTTATTGCAAAACAGTATTGTTTCATAACAGCCTAAACCAATTTGACAAATATCAATAATAATCAACAGAATTTGTAATTTCTCTATGCATGATCTGTGGAGAAAGCCGAAGCACTTATGAAGGAAGCCTGAGCACCTATGGAGAGATATATGTGTGCAATGAAACACAATCCTAAGTGCTATGGCATTGTTCATCAACAGCCTAGATTACACCCTAAAACACTGGAGGCAGTCGGACTTAATTTCCTCTTTGATTCTAGTCTGTCTGTTGCTATTTTGATTATCACATTTGATGTGGAAGTCGAAGGGAAAATGGCCACAATACACATTCAGATGGCAAACACATTCTGTTTTATCAGGACACATTTATTTTGTGCATATTATTTTTGACCAACAAAATACATCTGCACATTCAACTCACACCCACACAAAACAAAACAAAAACTAGTTTCAGTAAACTATTGTTGTAGTTAATCGTCCATCACAAACAATGTGGACCTCTCTTTCAGTAAACTAATAATATGACAAAAGACAAAGGCTCAATAAAACCTTACAGAATACAGGTGCATTGTTCTGATGTATTATTAAAAATCATAATGAATCTAACAGGTGGGAAATTTATTTACACTGAGAAAATGTGTTAATACAACACCATTCTTTGTTCTTGTTCATACCTCAGTTGTGTTTTACAACCAATTTAGCAGCATCCATCGCAAGTCATTCTGTTCGAAACTTTTTGTGGCAATTACAACTTTTCTAGCAACATACACCATTCTGTTTTACAACTATTCTGGCAATATAAAACTTTGTTTTACAATTATAATTTTTTTTTCAAATTTTGTTTCAAACATACCATACATAAAAAAACACTGCCAGTTTGTTTTCACAAAATACTGTTATTCCTTGCCAGTTTTTTTTTTTCACACTTTGTTCCAAACATATAATACATAAAACATTTTGCAAGCATCTCTTAAACCTCCCAGGCAGACAGGGGAACTATATTCTAATACTACGTAGCTATGCTGAAACTCGCACTTCTAACCTTATGAAACATTATGTTAACGATGTCCTACATCTATTGAAAGAATCCTGAATTACCAGTGTTAGGGCTGATATTCTAAATAATCTATGCCAAATATTCTTTACAAATATCATGGACTTATTTACATAAATGAGAAACTGAATCTTGGAAGAAGAAAAAATATGGAAGGGCTTTAAAACTCCACATAGCTGCAAAAATGTCAATACTTAAATTTGGAAATTCACTGGCAAACTGCATTGTTTAACCTGGCTAATTTTTTTTTTTTTTTTTAACGAAAAAAGATGGGAGGGGGTGTAAGGATGCAAGGCTATATAATTCTTCATGGTTACAAACTGGTTGATGTATTTCTACAAAAATTGCCATTCAGGCGGTTAGCTGGCTGACTTGTCTGGAATGATGCTAGAAAGGACATCACTGTGTTATGGGGGAGATGAAGATAGATTAACTAGTCTGTGGCTTGGTATGGGATAACCTCCCTGGGCAGTGAACTCTACTTGATGCAGTTGCTTTATCTCCTGCTGGATGGTTCCAACAACCTGTAAAATAAGATGACAGCAATTCAGTTAAGTAAGTAATGTAGGTTTTGTACAAGTCCACATGACATGTTAGCAATTTAGTCAGGTCAGTAATACAAGCTCTGTACATGTCCACATGGCATGGTAGCAATTTAGTCAAGTCAGTAATACAAGCTCTGTATGTCAACTTGGCATGGTAGCAATTTAGTCAAGTCAGTAACGCAAGCTCTGAACATGTCTAAATGGCATGGTAGCAATTTAGTCAAGACAGTAACGCAAGCTCTGAACATGTCTAAATGGCATGGTAGCAGTTCAGTCAAGTCAGTAACGAAAGCTCTGTACATGTCTAAATGGCATGGTAGCAATTTAGTCAAGTCAGTAATACAAGCTCTGTATGTCAACTTGGCATGGTAGCAGTTCAGTCAAGTCAGTAACGCAAGCTCTGTACATGTCTAAATGGCATGGTAGCAGTTCAGTCAAGTCAGTAATGAAAGCTCTGTACACGTCTAAATGGCATGGTAGCAGTTTAGTCAAGTCAGTAACGCAAGCTCTGAACATGTCTAAATGGCATGGTAGCAGTTTAGTCAAGTCAGTAACGCAAGCTCTGAACATGTCTAAATGGCATGGTAGCAGTTCAGACAAGTCAGTAACGCAAGCTCTGTACATGTCTAAATGGCATGGTAGCAATTTAGTCAAGTCAGTAACGCAAGCTCTGAACATGTCTAAATGGCATGGTAGCAGTTCAGTCAAGTCAGTAACGCAAGCTCTGAACATGTCTAAATGGCATGGTAGCAATTTAGTCAAGTCAGAAATTCAGGTTAGGTATAAGTCAACATGGCACACTGGGGAGCAGGGGAAGGGCAATGGCAAAAACACTTGTCTGTCAGCCCGAAGGTCAAAGGTTTGAATCTGCAATGTGGATTGGCACCTGAGACCACAGATCATGTCCTCCAAGACTGTCCCAAATACAACATATCAAGGCAAAACTTTTAGCCAAGAGAAACATCGGTGCAAGTCAGACTTTATGTGTCGCTGAGTGAATTACAAAAGACAAATTCAAACTAGAGATAACATTGCAGATACAAATAATTTTTTTCAAGCGAACGAAAGAAGAGAGAAGAATTTATTCACAATCATCATCATTTAGCAGATCCTTTGCAGAAAGTTTGCATGAAAGAAACTCGGTCTCCCGCCTCATGTGCTTCGATAGTTTTCTTTAGAGTGGTGACAAGAGTTTTCTGTTGTAGAACTACCCCTACTTGCTCTGCCATCGTTCTCTTGCCCAGTTTTTGTGTGATCTGCCTGGCCTGGGGGGCCTCACCATAAGATATTATTATTATGCTCTAATCAAGATGCAACCACACCCCCATGTTTTTACTGTGTTGGCATCCCTGGATAAGAAAATCAAAGCAAGTTATTTCCTCTCTCTCTCTCTCTCTCTCTCTCTCACACACACACACACACACAAACACACACATTTTCCCCCAGTATTAAATGAAATAACTTACTTGTGTGAACTGGCGACAAAAATGGGTCACTGTGAGCACAGTATTTAGAGTCATGCCCCACACTGCTGGCTGACACAGACCTGGCAATAGCCTTGCTGTCTGCTCCCTGTCTGTTGTGGTAATGTGGATGCTGGAGGGGATGTGCTGGATGACAACTCTTGTGTTGCTGGCACAAGCAGGCAGGACAAGCCTGCAGCCCCGTGCCACCACCGTCCACCCCTGGCTCATTATGGCAGTGCTGGCAATGGCCGGAGCAGCAGCGATGGTCCACCACTTCACAGTAGCAGGGACTGGAGGCGACAGCCGCCTGAGACGACAACGCCCCAGACATTGACGCGGTCTGCCGGGATGGTGACGAAGGCCTGGCCCCAGCTGAACAGTCACATGATTGGCAGTCCAAGTTCATAGCTGAGAATTGTGCAGACATGTCTGCAGATTCCCCGTGTGAGTATACTGTCTTTTTCGCTGCATTTCCACAGCCTCGAGGGTGGATCGGAGGTCTCTGTGTGCTGTCACTATGAGAATGCACAGGCGATGGTAACGATGACGATAATGACTGTGACAATGAGGTAGGAGGGTGGGGAGGATTAAGATCACAACAAAAGTGTTTACCATTACAGCCTACACTATCAGAACAGTTGCCAGGAAGGAGTTTTGTCTGGCCACTTCCATCAGCCATTTCACGCAAACAAACTGAAGGATGACTGCTGTTCGCGTGATGGATTTCAAAATGTGCATCGGGGTGTCCATTTGGTGGACTGGAATTTGCCATCACAGAATATTTATACATGCAGACAGAGCAAGAAGGTCGGGCTGTTGCCAGTGCGGAATTGGCTGATTCAACATCTCGGTTATCACAAGAACCACCATCCTGCTCATGTCTATCCCTGTTTTCACAACCTCTACTGCTGTCCTCACTTCTAGAACCTACCGGATGACCCAGAGCCCCACCACTAGAAGTGTTGTTTAGCCTATCGTGATTTGTAGGCTTTGTTGGGTGAAAAGTCTGAAACAAAGATCTCCCACTGGGAGAAACCAACCGCTGACTGGAGCAACAGCTGGATAATTCACTCTTATCTAAGGCAGGCACATGTAAGGATGGTGATGGATTCTCCCGGTATTCGTCCCCATCAGATGTGACAACGTACAGCTGATGATGTGGCTGAAAGTGGCCGGAGCTGCTGCTCGGAGGCTCAGTGCTTCCACTGTGCTGACCGCTGCTGGTGCTGTGTCGGCTGCCAATGGTGTCCTCGTCGCTGGCTTGGTAAGGCATGTTTGCTCCAGAGTTGGCTGTGGAATTTGAACGCAGTTTGTTTACAACTTACTGTGAAATACTAAAAACTATCACATTCCATCTGAACTATCTCATAAGGACAAAGATACTATCTCACTCAATGAAACTATAAAAGTCTGGATCCCTCTTGAGGAAGGAATTTTTTTATTTTTTATTTTTTTTTAAATAAGTATTTTTTTAAAAGTCTCCCAGATCCACCCAGCAGAAACTGGTACCAAGAACATTTTGGGTATAATACTGACCACGGTATCTACTAAGTGCTGTACAAATCAGCAAAATATTCTAAATATATTTTATGAAGTGGAAAAAGGTGATCTTGTTGTTTAATGAAATTTACCCCAACCAAGACATTATTATTCTCACATAAAAAAAAAAAAAAAGCCATCTTCTAGTGAATACTTTGCTTGGATTCCAGGGAAAGCTTCCTGTAGTTACTTCTGACAATCCCCAACTTTCTGTAGAGGTTCCTCAACAGGTTACAGCTGACCAGTATCTGAGTAAGAATGACAGAGGACTGCCAGGAGACCATGCAGTATTCATGTCCAATGAGTCAGAGAAAGGGAACAACAGGAGAACTTTGAGAGATACAACAGAGAGAGATACAGATGAGAGAGAGATAGGAGAGAGAGAAGAGAGACCAGAGAGAAAAACTGAGATAGAACGACTTGAGGACTTTGGGGGCAGTGAAGAAACATCATCACCAGAAGCAGATAATTCCATATCAATGCTCTTACAGAGAAGTGGATATCTGGAGACCAGTAGGGGCAAAATGTCCACAGAACTGCTATGAATGAAAGACATAGGAGTTATAATTGGCACAGCCAGGCATGAGTGCATCTAATTTGTGAGAGATCATGTCAGTCAGCACAGGGCTAGTGCTACTAGTGAAGATACAATGATGTCTGAGCTACAGCACAGGACTAGTGCTACTAGTGAAGATACAATGATGTCTGAGCTACAGCACAGGGCTAGTGCTACTAGTGAAGATACAATGATGTCTGAGCTACAGCACAGGGCTAGTGCTACTAGTGAAGATACAATGTTTCAGCTACAGCACAGGGCTAGTGCTACTAGTGAAGATACAATGTTTCAGCTACAGCACAGCGCTAGTGCTACTAGTGAAGATACAATGTTTCAGCTACAGCACAGGGCTAGTGCTACTAGTGAAGATACAATGATGTTTGAGCTACAGCACAGGGCTAGTGCTACTAGTGAAGATACAATGATGTCTGGGCTACAGCACAGGGCTAGTGCTACTAGTGAAGATACAATGATGTTTGAGCTACAGCAGAGGGCTAGTGCTACTAGTGAAGATACAATGTTACAGCTACAGCACAGGGCTAGTGCTACTAGTGAAGATACAATGATGTCTGAGCTACAGTACAGGGCCAGTGCTACTAGTGAAGATACAATGATGTCTGAGCTACAGCACAGGGCTAGTGCTACTAGTGAAGATACAATGATGTTTGAGCTACAGCACAGGGCTAGTGCTACTAGTGAAGATACAATGTTTGAGCTACAGCACAGGGCTAGTGCTAGTAGTGAAGATACAATGATGTTTGAGCTAAATCGAGAAAACGGAGCAGCTGTGGAGTACCATGAGGATAACCAAACTCATAACTGGATGTCACTAGATACATACAGTTAAAGACCCTCCTTCATGCCTTCCGACATACTGAACATATGGGCTAAATCTAGATTTTATAGACCAATCGGCACTCAGTGAGTGATGAGGCCAACATGAGGTCTGCCACCTTTACTTCCCAGGACTTTACTCAGTACCACTTAATACTAGGTCTACCTGGGAGTCGAGGTCATTTCTGAAGAAAAAAAAAAGTCCTGCTTCAGCAGTCACTAGATATGGGATAATAATCAAACAACTGAAAACCCATCCAGCTACAGAAGAGAATAACCAATTTAAAGAGTGGGAAATCCCATGACCTCAAAAGGGGTTCCCCAATGAGATAGAACAAGAGTTTAAATGCCAGTTAGGAAAGAATTAGAGGGAAAGCATGTCCCAAAGTGGATTGTAAGTTCCATGTGAAGGAGTGAATGATTGAGTGAAATTTTGTGAAGTGAAGTGGACAACTGGACTGGAGAAAGAAAGAACAGATTATTCTGTGAGAGACAGAGAAAGGAAGCCATCGGTGTGACTGAACAGAGGTATGAGAGAGCTTGGATAGCTGACAGCAGGATCAAGTATCTGGCGAATGCAAAAGTGTGGCTGAGCAGATGGGGGAAGCTTGTTGCTAGTTGAAGTCCAGAGAGGAATGCTTGCTGTTCAGTGGTGATAATAAGCAGGAGTGAATGGCAGCAACAAGTCCACAAAAGGTAAAGATTTGTAAGAATCTGATTAGCTCTGTGATTTTCAGAACAAACAGCAGCAGAAAATATTTCCTAGATGACTTTATGATAGTGATGAAGTCGACAAGACTGATGGATTAGCAGTACACATTTGTGTGTGTGACCTGGTCTTCATCTTGATGTATCGTTACTACTAACTCTCTCAAAACTGTGAAGGCATCCAGCTGTAAAAACAAAACCACTCACCTGCTTTTATTTGCCTAAGAAGACGGTCCCCTGCAGTTAATGTTGGTGGCTGACTATCATCTTCGTCGACATCACTTGGGCAGATCGGTCGTGCATAACCATTGGCTCTAAATTGACCAGACGATGACTCATAACCAGATTCCTTCATCTGATAATCTGTAATTATAACACAGAAACTTAACGGTCTCCAACAGCCCACTAAACATAAAACAAGCATCGACACGGACTAGGAACTAACATAATAAGAACAAATTCAACCAGTTACTTGAATACAATTTTACAGAAATGAAAGGCAAAGGCCTAAAATATAATAACCATTAGTTGTGCATCCTGTACAGAATGCTGCAGAACAAGCCCTAGCATCTCTCCACTGTTTGTGATATCACTGTCATTGAATTGTTAATCCTAAAATGTATTTGCCAGTTTGTTATTTCCTATTATGTGAGTTTTTTGGCATGTGAAGCTTTTATGCTGGGTACCTTAAATGTCTAGTGCACAATATGCCAGTGGAAATGTAGCAGCTAGATGCTCGCCTACATTTTCGAAAATCCTGGGTTTGAATTCGGATTTTCTTATCTCTCCATAATTGACTGTCTCTTCCAAGTCTATCCAGTCTAAGATGGGTACCAGATAATCTCCAGGTCACCGGCGTGATGTCACCCACATCACAGGTCACCGGCGTTTTGTCACCCACATCGCAGGTCACTGGCGTGATGTCACCCACATCACAGGTCACTGGCGTGATGTCACCCACATCACAGGTCACCAGCGTTTTGTCACTCACATCACAGGTCACCGGCGTGATATCACCCACATCACAGGTCACCGGTGTGATGTCACCCAATCACAGGTCACCGGCGTTTTGTCACCCACATCACAGGTCGCCGGCGTTTTGTCACCCACATCACAGGTCACCGGCGTGATGTCACCCACATCACAGGTCACCGGCGTTTTGTCACCCACATCACCAACAGTGTTCCGGTTTGGTCTATAAAAGTATAAGTCTAGCATATTTATTTTTATATTGTAAACCATTTGACATTTTAAGACATTAGATGCTGACGAGCCCAAATCAACTCCGATGAATAAAATGAGATCTGTACTTAGACTGAGGGAGTGGAAGTATAACATTGGTTAGAACCAGTGCACTAATCAGCATTCCATATGTAAACAAACTGTGCCTTGCAGAAAAAAAAAAAGAATATGTGATAAACATTAAGAAACATGTGTGTCTGTGCGCTGTGTATGAAATGTGTGTATTCAATAAGAGCACCATTAACCGATAAGTTCCTAGAGTTTCAGAAAGTTTGCCGCTGCCTCCTGAACGGTCAGCTCTCAAAACCACAGTTGAAACCAACATAAGGCAAAAAGATTATAAAGGTCTCTGATGCCGGTCACATAAAAGCAGACAATAGCCAGACAAAATCTCCAACACCACAGGAGAGCAAACCATTCTCTTTTGTCCTCTTCTTTCACCAATATCTGCTTTGTACCACTAGGCATCATGCTTTAACAGATAACATTTAGCTGGACCAGGCTGCACTCAGTTAAATGCTGTGATGTTGTGAAGTTTTAAGATGTCAGAACCTTTGTCTAACCATCCTCTTCTAGGTATCCATATGCTTTTAGTGTTTCCATTCATATGTTTTGCTCTCACTACCTGCATGTTGAATTCATTCTCACTATGTGGTCAAACCAGCCAATTCTGTGTTTCTTAAATTAATTTAATGATGAGTACTGTTCCCATTTTTCTAATCTCTTCATTTCCCATTTAATCTCTTCTGATTTCTGATTTTGTTCACACCCTTTTTAAAACACCAAATTTTACAAGTGGTTAGTCTGACAAAAGTAACCTAAAGTTGGAATAAAGATATTCTCTATTTATTTTATGAAATCCGACCAGGAAACAAACCCAGTCCACATGAGACAGAAGAGGAAGTCATAACCTCTAAGCCATTTCTCTCTTTCAGTCAGAACCACAAAACTGGTCACTTACACACATAAACACCAACTGAAACACACATAAACACCAAATGGAACACACATAAACACCAACTGAAATACACATAAACACCAACTGAAACACACATAAACACCAACTGAAATACACATAAACACCAACTGAAATACACATAAACACCAACTGAAACACACAAACACCAACTGGAACACACATAAACACCAACTGAAACACACATAAACACCAACTGAAACACACATAAACACCAACTGAAACACACAAACACCAAATGAAACACACATAACTAACTGAAACACACATAAACACCAAATGAAACACACATAAACACTAACTGAAACAAACATAAACACCAACTGAAAGAGACCAGTGCTTACCCTGATAGTGGTAGCCATTGACAATGGTGGGTCCCTGAGAGTAGCTGCCCTCCTTGTCAGAAGACATGTAGCCAGAACTTGGGATCTCTCCAGGCAAGGTGGTTTCATCTGAGGCAATTCAACAACATTTGTGTTTGTTATAATGGCATTTCCAATCTTGTCTTATAAAAACACACAAAGACATACTCAGTGGCTATGTCTCTCTCTCTCTCTCTCTCTCTCTCTCTCTCTCTCTCTCTCTCTCTCTCTCTCTCTCTCTCTCTCTCTCTCTCTCTCTCTCTCTCTCTCTCTCTCTCTCTCTCTCTCTCTCTCTCTCTCTCTCACCCACATGCAACAGTTACAGTCATGTGTCAATTGCGCCGGCGACTACCGTGGAATGGGGCTAAAGTAGATGGCTAGGACCCACGAGCAGCAGCCACGGTGTGCTCGTGACCGCTAGTGCACAATTGACACGTGACTGTGGCTCGAAAGGATATTTTGCGGCCGCCATCTTTACCGACCGTTAGTGGGAGGATAGCCTAATAATAATAATAATGAAGAAGAAGAAGAAGAAGAAGAAGAAGAAAAAGAAGAAGAAGAAGAAGACAGGTATTCTGAAAATATCTGCTCAAACCACCAGGCCATCCAATCATAAAAAAGTGTTAAAGTATAAGGGTCGATATAACCACTAAAAGATTTTTTTTTAAACAGGAAGTCATGTAAATTCACACCCCAAAAAAACATACAAGAAAGTAAAAAGATTTTTATTTTATATGAAAATCCTCTGCAGATGTAAAATAACCCCCCCCCCCCCCCCCTAACCAACCATTAAGATAATCTAGCTTCAAGTAACCAATAATCTCCTAGTTTAATGTATATTTATAAAGCTTCTGACCAACCAACTGGATAATGTCCTATTAAATTATGCAGCAGCTAAAAGCTTGATCAGAAAGTGCATTGTATTCTTGAATTGTTGTTTCAGTACCTGGAGGTTGTGGGCCTGAGGATAAAAGGCTGTGTGGCAGGTGCAGTGGCAACTAATTGTGGAGATCAGGATGTTTATTGTTGCCACCGATGGATGGAGAAAATTAGCATTTATCGAGGATCAAACCCTGGGTCTCCTACAAGACAGCCCAGCACTCCAACCACCAGGCCAACCAATCATAAACAAGGGTAAAAGTATACGAGGGTTTCTACTCGTTCCGAAAGATGAAAGTGGAAGATGAGAGTGGAAGACAAAGAGGAGGAGCAGACAAATATTTTATGCTAATCATAAACACAAAGAAGGCACAAACCAGGAATTCTTCTTCTTCTTCACGTTCACCAGCTGTACACTCTGGCGTAAAGTTCTGGTTGTTCGTCCACTTCTGGACTGCAGTCCTGCTCCAGAACCTGAGTGTTGCGTGTGCATCAGTTTTACAGATTTGATTCAATTGAATGTAGACTGCTGGTTCCTTGCCTCTCAGGCAGATGCACTCCGACTTCAAAGGAAGCTCCCCAGTTAGTCGACTCTTACGACATGCTTTTGGGGACGCAGTGGGTCTATTCTTGTTTTCCCCACAATAGGGCCCCGGAACCCACACGGGGGACAAACCAGAAATGAAATGACAATACCTGTTGGAGTAGCACTGTAGACCTCATGCCTTTTCCTGGTCTGGTAGATAATGATCACCCACACAAGAGAGGTGCCAACAACACAGCATACCACAGCAATGATGATGATGCCGGTCGTGGTAGACTCATCATCCAGCCCAAAGGAGCCACCAGAATCGCCACCCTCGCCAGATGAGTTCACAACCTGAGGATATACAGAGGGCTGTTACAACAAAGGGCTTTTACAGAGTATCGTGGTGAAAGAAAGGGAACTATTTTCTTCTGTGCTATCATATAAAAGAGCAGTTGTGTTGTGGTTTACAGCTAGGCTGCAGCATTGTTGGACATTTTTGTATATAAATCCATCTATCTATCTTTTGTCCATCATTTTCTACACTTATAGTCACAAACTTTATTATAATACCTGTCTCACCATATGTGTGTGTATATATATATATATATATATATATATATATATATATATATATATATTTATATATATATATATATATATATATATATATATATATATATATATATATATATATACACACATACACTGCACATGCATGGCATAAACATGCAGGCACATGCACACACACAACCATTCACATGTTTACTTTCCCATAAACAAATGATCTCTCACAAACATACATACAAATGTATCATTAACAATCACTCTCCCCTCACACAGAAGCATGGAAACTCTTGCTTCCTCCTTTCTCATTCCCCCTTGATGCACACATAAGCAGCCATTACCAAATCCACTCTCTGGAATATAATCCCACTGATTCAAGAACAGGTTATAGAAAGAGGACCTGACATGTGCTGGCAGACCAATACTAACAAGCAGCACAACAACAAGAAGTAATCATATATTCAGCCATATTGACAAAACATTGCTCTTCTTACCAGCAGCTCCGTTGTGCCTTTGGCTGTGCCTAATGAGTTTGACATCCTGCAGGCGTAAGTACCAGCATCTGACCACTGAGTGTCCACTATCACCAGAATCTGATTGTCCGCAGTGAAGAAGTGACGAGGGGTCATCTAAAATATATGCAAATAAAAATTTTAACACATGTTAACACAGATCTTTAAACAAAACAAAAAAGAATAAATCACTCACTGTGGATTTTATCTGGAATGTGTTTTGATTGTGCCCAATAGGGTGTGTTCAATGGGGTGTGTGCCCAATGGGGTGTGTGCCCAATGGGGTGTGTGCCCAATGGGGTGTGTGTCGTGAACTGCAGATTCAGAAAATGGGGAGTGGCCGACTGCCCTAGAACTGGTGGTGCCTTAAGTGAAATTGCATGTGCAAATGCTGATTCTGTTGTAACTGCAGCTTTCATTGACGATGAGCTGCTATTCCAGTGGTACACTGCTTGTATTGCCACTTCTGATGGCTGCATACTGCATTTAGTGTATTTGTATGTTGTTTGCTTTACTAAAACAGAAGTCTGTTTCAAAATATTCACACATAAGACAGTGATGAGCATTCTGTGTGGCTTCTGCTAGCAATGGAACAGAGCAATTTTGAGATGACCATTTTGCCTGAAGCCTGAACTCCTACTACCAACTAACTACTTAACTTACCACTAGCTCCTTGTCATCTTTCAGCCAGGTCAGCTTAGGTTGTGGACTTCCAGAGGCCATACACTGCAAGACAGTTGTTTCTCCTTTCTTTGAAGACTTCTTACTTTGCATGGGCTGCTCAATGTACGGTGGCACTGGAGAAAGCAAAGCAACAATTGGGAATTGTCTATTCCTGATCTAAGACTTTACGGTCTGCTATGTTCAGTAATATTCTGTACAACATCTCTAGTCAATTTTCACTCAGATAAAGTCTCTGCATAATTACTAGCAGGGTCTCTGAAGTTTGACATGTTGAGAAACAGAAGCCAGGCAAAGAGAGGCACAAACTGCTGAAGCATAGAACCACAGGCCTGATGATACAGTACAAAGTAATTCCCTTCATGATAAGACAAGACTAACCTCAGAGAGTCACAAAGACATTGGTGACCACAACAAAGGCTTGATGAAACAGTACAAAGTAATTTTCTGAACTAATTCAATACCAAGCTACTGACCACATGTTTGTTAATTTCAACTGACACCTACTTTTCTGCACCCCTTGTCATGAATCCAGTTATCATATTAAGCCACTCTATCCAAACATGTTATTTTAACCCTTCAGCCTACTGGAGCAGCTGGCTGAATGGTTAAGAACATGAGCCCTCATGCAAGAGATTCTGGTTTGAATCCTTGGTAAATTTGTGAAATTTTCTGCAACAGGGATAAATTAAACCCTAACTTGCACTCCATGGTGACTACACCAGCCATGTGGCCCTAAATCCTCAGGCCCCAAACCCCGTCCCTACATTGCAACAATTGTTAAATATAGGCAGTAGTAACAGTTTAATGAGAGCATCGACCCAGCCTCAAATGGGTACCAGGATGGGCTGTCCTGGGAAAGTAAAGACAGCCGGCGTAATGCTGACCACATTACCCACCGAGTGCTGATGGTCTGTAAAAATATGGGCGCTCTTCCCATATGCCCGATACGCCTAAAGGCATGAAAAGGGATCTTTACTTTACTTTACTTATAATTATGGAGTTACTTCAACTCTTGAGATGTCTTGACTGATTACTTAAGCTTCACTAGAATGAATGAATCAAAGTAACATCTGCTTGGTACAGTAGAAGCTCATGACGACAACATAAGAGATCATCACAAGACACACACAAAACATAGGGGATGGTAGAGAGTGAGAGACAGATAATGAAGAAAAGAGGCTGAGAATAGGGAGACATGCTGAAAGAAGTAAGGAGAGAGGTAATCAGCGAGGGTGTAGATGTCAAGTAAATGAATAAGTTTTTTTTTTTAAAGGAAGGTAGGAGAAAGAGTTGATGATGATACAACAAGAGCTAACCTAAGACGGTCACTGTGGCGTTAGTGATCACAACACCGGCTTCATTCCTGGCCATGCAACTGTAGACGCCCTCGTCCGCCACACGAGTGTTCATGATGTAGAACCTATCGTCATTGGGATACACCTGCATGCGTCTCTCTCGGGCTGCCGGGAAATTATCCCCACCATCTTTCTGCCAGGAGATCACTGGAGTTGGCTGGCCTGTGGCTGCACACTTGAGTTCAGCGGGCTTTCCTGCTTTCACCGTGACATCCTTTGGCACTTTCAGGAACACTGGGTAGACTGCAAAAATATATTAGAATTGTAGAATGGCTGTGCAATACAACTCATCACACAATAAACTACAGCCATACAGTAATGCTGATCATCACAGGTGTAATTAATATATATATATATATATATATATATATATATATATATATATATATATATATATATATATATATAATATATATATATATATATATATATATATATATATATATATATATATATATATATATATATATATATATACACACACACACACACACACATACACTTATCATAGGTACAGAAAGAGAAAAACAGATGTGCAGTAGGGAAAGGAGAAGGAAGAAACAGAGAGAAAAGGTGAGGGTTGGGGGGGGGGAGGGGGAGAGAGGGAGAAGAGAGAGAGAGAGAGAGAGAGAGAGAGAGAGAGAGAGAGAGATTACATATTATATCTGCAACCCATCACTATTAAAACTTACATACAGACAGACTGGAAAATACAAATGAAGGATACAAACAGCAGAAATAATCACCAAATAGATATTAAAGGAAAGACAGGAACAACAGAACAAACCTACTGTCTTCCCACACAAAAACATATTGTAAAAAGTGACTAAAAAGTTATTTACTGGAATCAGATGTGTGGTACAGAAAGGAGCAGATATCACATCCTTGCTGTGAACCACAACCTCACATACCAAACATCTCTTTGCGGGTAAACACAAAGGGTCTCCTTACCATACACATTGAGGTAAGCCTTCTGAGAGAAAGTAGAGCCAAAGTCGTTGGCCACCACACACTGGTAGCGGCCAGCCATGGAGTCCTGCATGTCGGTCAGGTGTAGGTTGGAAGTGTAACGTTTGACATCTCCATCACTGCTGGCCGTCACCACAGACAGGGAGTCATTCAGGAGCTGACAAGTAAGACAATCAGAACATGTTAGTTCAGTTGAATAATCGACAGATTATTCTTACTGCAAATCGGTCCATAAGCATTCCGATACTATCTTTAGTTTATTTCCTTCAGCGTGTAGCATCTGATTACATCAGTTCTGTACTGGTTTACTAATCTTCTTTGGCTACCTGTATAGTGCAGAACAAGTTCTCATTGATAACCCATTCACCAACCTAAAGTGAATTATAATGTTCTCCTTGGTCATAAACGGTACAAACCATAACCATTAACTCTTAGACAATGGCAGGCCAATATTTGTGGTTGCCAGTATACATGATTGCTATATTAAAATATTGGTATATAGCAGACTGTTAGATATTTTCAACCATCTGTTTATGGTGGCACTATGTAGCAGGGGTTTCAGACATAGGGAGTCGTATTTTACTCCTTGTTGTCAGCTGATGGTGATATTGCGTCTTCTATGCTGTGAGCTTTTAACAGTCCCAAAACATGTACAACTGGGCCTAACCCCAACCCCCCCTACTCCACAGCCTCAGCCTATGTCCCATGACTGTATGCAGCCTCTATTATATGCTGCATATAGTCGTGCGACCAAGGATGCACCATTGCGACATAGTGCAAGTGCTACACCAGATCAAGGCATCAATGAAAAGGGAAGTCACTCTCAATATGGACCGCCCAAGGTGATTAGAACCAAAACAGTGCGACTTTTGCTGGTTAACTACACAATACTGGATTGCTTCAGGCAGAAGTGCTTACAGCTAGACACAAGCCCGGCGCCCTTACTTCCACTGCTAGAGAGATATGCCTGAGTGATGCCCTTACCGTATTGTCCTTCTTCCAGTGTATATGAGGCTGGCTGTCCCCAGTGATGGCAGCAATGCATGTCAGAGTCAGATTCTCTCCCTTGTAGCCATTCGCTGACTTGGGACTTTCCAGTATGACAGGCTTTAGGAATTCTGCGCTGTCTGGAGATGTGAAAGATTTTCATGAGAGACTGAGAAATTACCAGAAGTATGAGTATCATGTGTTAGATTTAAGAAAGCATCATAAAAAACATACAGGCAAACAAACATTCGATATTTCATAGTGCATTAACAAACTAATTACCATCCCAAAACTGCCACCACTCTCTTCTAAAAATCTTAATGTCTAACAGTTTTCCATATACATAAATTCTCAGTTACCTGCCTTCTTATCACTTCTCGCACCAACTACCCATCCCACCTCTGCTGGTCACTTCCTGCCCAGTATCTAACTCCTATAACTGTGAACACATCATGGCTTCTACTGCTCAATCGCAGAATGAAACTTTGTGACAGGCCTCAATTTAATAGTACCTATCCTTGTGTGTAGATGTATCATTGTTCATTTATATTGTCTGAAATGAAGGTTTTCTAACCAAAATACTGTTCATGACAGTGGTATTGTGAAGATGACTTGTTCTTGTCTGGACTGGGATTGTTTATGATCTGCTTACTGCTGTGGATGACCACCAGGGGTTTGACTATAAAGCATTTCTTTGGTCTTGGGTTTTGTAAATAAATAATGTGTATCACTGTGTGTGGGTAGATCTAGATATCTGAATCCTCCTGTGTGGTCTCTGTCTGTGTGTGTGTGTGCGTGCGTGCGTAAAAAGAAACTGAAAAGAAAAAACAACTTACTGCACTTAAAGTCCGAGACCTCAATCTGAAAGATGCCTGCCCCTCGCAGCACAGGTGGGTGCAAGCAGGTCCCCAGAGCCGAGTGCTGGAAGCCACTCTGCTTCAGCCAAGGAGGAAGCCATGCCAGGTGACAGTCACAGAACAATTTGGAGGAGTTGAAGCGCCTGTGTGAGTGAGGAGTGGCAATGCATTACATAATATTCACAAACACATGGTGGGTGGGAAATAGGGCAAGCAAGTGGAGGCGGAGGAGGAAGAAAATGTCCGGAACATGTGCTCAAATGTCGGTGGCGGCATGTGATGGTGAGTGCAAATGCCTGCATCTGATGTTAAATACACTGTTCTATTTATGTCCTTGTGAGTCACTTCCTGCAGCTGGTACTGGGCCGTTACAACAAAAATCTGTATTTAGATTGACAGTATGTGTGATTCAACAGGGAAGGAGTGAGAGAGGAAGAAAGTAAAGAAGAAAAACAACCCTTTTCATGTCATGTCAGGCATACGATGATAAACATACTGCTAGAAACCATCTGTCTATGAGTGATGCGGTCAACTTTACATCTGCTGACTTTACTTCCAAGGTCATTTCCTTTTTTAACTCTGCTGAGAAAAGAGAAAGTGCAGTAATGAAGTGTGAGAAATATACAGTAGGAACAAGTCGATAAAGTTGTCTGCCATGTACTCAGTAGGAATAACAGAAAAGGAACAAAAAAATAACTGTGAGGTTAAGTAACCCAAAAAATTGTGCGCGGTTTAAGTACAAACAAGAGTTTCAAAACAAAGTAAACAAAGGATTATGAACATCAGAAGGTAAAAACAAGTGCCCCCCCCCCCCCCCCCCAATGCTGTGAGCAAACATACGTGGAGACAAAGAATGCAAAGCTGTTAGTTATGAATCAAAAAAGCTATCAAAGACATACTGTTTAAACCTAGACAATGCGGATGTTTGTAATATAAGTTTGTAGAAAAATTTCAATACATCTTTGTCAATACACACAGAGAACAGAAGGACACATAACTCTCTTGGACACAGGACAAAAGAATAATTTGAGAAAAATTGTGAGAATAATAACCTCTTTACAAAATAATGAATAAAACAAAAAAAGTCTATGGCCTGAAATATACATCAAAAACCAGAATGAATCAATTGACTGGAAACACATGGGGGATAAAGAGGGTCAAAGATTAAAGAGACAAATCTGTCAGGAGAAATAAAAGAACACTTAAGCTGTTCAAATTGCTTCTACCACACACACACACACACATAAGAAACAAGAATGTACAAAGCTGTGTGCACTATACAAGTGACAAAGTGATTAAACCACTTTACAAGTGATAAAAGAATGACAAAGTTATTAAATAACACTCCAGATACTAAAAGAACACAAACACACACATAAGGCAAAATGGCTAACTGAAATATGTTGTCAACAAGTGGGCTACAAAAAAAAAACCTCCAGAAAATGTTCATGAAAAAAATATTTAACAAATAACCTCAACAAAGTTCTTTTAAGGGAGTTGCTGTGGCATAGCGGCTAGACGCTCGCCTGTAGATCAGAAGGTCGTGGGTTCGCTCCCTGGCAGAGCCAGACCTTTTTTCAAAAATGACCTTGGCTCCCAGGTCGACCCAGCCTTGAGTGGGAACCAGGCACAGTCCTGAGAATTAAGGTGGCCAGCGTGATGCTGACCACATCACCCATTTTGTGCCGTCGGTCTATCAAATATAGGTCTAGCCCTATATACCCAATACGCCTGAAAGGTGTGGAAAAGGGTCCTTTATTTTTAAAGTTCTCTCAAATATGCCAACAATCAAACCAGCAACAGCATGTGATCAACTTACAAGTCTCTGAGATCCCGTAGAGTCTCAAATGCATTCTCCTGTATTGATGTGATGTCATTGTCTTCCAGGTACAACTGGCGCAACTTCAGCAGACCAGCAAATGCATGCACAGCGATGGAGCGGACAGCATTAGCCTTGAGGCCTAGCTTGGTCAGGCTGGTGAGACCACGGAATGCCCCGGCAGCATCCTCCATAGTCCAGGAAATTTGATTTGAGTTCAGTTCCCTGCAAAAACATTCAGTACAATGTCATACAATTTGAACAATGAAACAAGACGGGCCGGCAAAACATACATGACTCTCAAACACAATTTGAACGAATAAAATCAGCAAAGGACTCAATCCACATCTTGACGTATGTTGGTGACATGGTGCTACCTCCACATTTCTATAGTGATTTCCTTCTTTTTCTTTTGCGTTTAGCTTCACAAGGGCAGATAGTACGCTGTGCTGTGGTTTACAGTTGGGTTGTGATATCTGCGCTTTTTGCCACAACGCAATTTCAGCAAACCTCTAATTAGTTGTTTTTTCCCTTACATTAAATGTTTGTAAAGGGGCAGCAGATCTGCTATTGTTCCTTCATAGCAGGGTCTACACGTGTTCCTTCATAGCAGGGTCTACCCGTGTTCCTTCATAGCAGGGTCTACCCGTTTTCCTTCATAGCAGGGTCTACCCGTGTTCCTTCATAGCAGGGTCTACCCATGTTCCTTCATAGCAGGGTCTACCCGTGTTCCTTCAAAACAGGGTCTACCCATGTTCCTTCAAACAGGGTCTACCCGTGTTCCTTCAAAACAGGGTCTACCCATGTTCCTTTAAAACATTGTCTATTCGTGTTTCTTCAAAACATGGTCTACCCATTTTCCTTCAAACAGGTCTACCTGTGTTCCTTCAAAACAGGGTCTGCCCAAGTTCCTTCAAACAGCATCTACCCTTGTTCCTTCAAAACAGGGTCTACCCGTGTTTCTTCAAAACAGCATCTACCATTGTTCCTTCAAAACAGGGTCTACCCGTGTTCCTTCAAAACAGCATCTACCCTTGTTCCTTCAAAACAGGGTCTACCTGTGTTCCTTCAAAACAGCATCTACCCTTGTTCCTTCAAAACAGGGTCTACCCGTGTTCCTTCAAAACAGGGTCTACCCTTGTTCCTTCATAACAGGGCACCGGAACAGACTCAGGGACTACAGGCTTCAAATTTGACATGGGGTCTCCATGACCCAGCTGTTGGCCATGCACTCTCAAGACTGTGGCCTCTTTGCAAGGATTCCTTTGTTCCTGGTATTTTTACATACATTCCTTGGACAAGGACCCCACCCTATAGGATCCAACCCAGTGCAACGAAGTCGACCCTCTGAATTTTAAATCCTTTAACGGGAGGGGGGGGGGGGGCGCCTCAAGTGCTAGAGGTTCTGGGCTGACCCCCCAGTGAGGGCTGGGATTTTTCACGTGGACTTCTAGTAATTTCCCCCTTGTCTCTGGGTAGTAAGACCAGATGTCCGTGTGTACTGTTGTGCACTTATCCCTTGGCAGTTGGAAATCAAAAAACAGTAGCCTAACTGCGCTGCCCAGACCAAGTATTTTAGGATCAACGCCATTGCAACAGAGTTCATGCACAGAGATTCTTCAGACTCAGAAGAATGGAGCACTAATGAGTTACACCTGTGTGCCAGGATGCTGACCAGTTGAATAAACATAAACATTATCTGTTTATACAAACACTGGCACTCAATGGATAATATGGTCATTACACATCTTCTGCCTGTATCTCTCTGAACCAAGTCTGGCACTCTCATTGCTCAGGCTGATCTACTGGCACTGGTTAATTTGTAAAAATCTGCCTCAACCGAGAATCAAACTTAAGACCACTCAGTCAGCAGGGTAAGCTTAAACATTTTTATGAAAATTCATGAACATGTTCGCTCTCATGCAGCTTTAGCAGCAGTCTGCAGTCAAAGCAATAAAATAATACAGTGACCTTTAACCTTCAGTTTACCTTCATTCCATATGAGCAAACCTTCAGTTCCTCATCAATAAACTTTAAGTTCCCCATTAACAAAACATCAGTTACCAGTAAACATAAACTAAATGTTCTGTTCCCCATCAGTAAAAAATTCAGTTCCCCATCACTAAAAACATTCAGTTCTGCACCATTAATATCTTTAGTTCCCACATCAGCAAAAACCTTCAGTTCTTAATCAGTTAAAATTTCAACTCCCCATAAACTAAACCTTCAGTTCCCCATCAGTAAAAAACCTCAGTTCCCAATCAGTAAAAAACCTAAGTTTTCCATCAGTAAAACCCCAACTCCACATCAGTAAAAACTCCAGTTCCCCAAAAGTAAAACCTTGAATTGCCCAACCTTCAGAATAACCTAAGCCCTGGCACCATCTGTAAAACATCTGAGGCACAAACCCTAACCTTTCAGTCAGTACAAATATCTCCTGGCTATCAAGTGGACAACACCCTACACTCCACCAGCTGTTTCTGATCCACTGTCAGATTTGCAGCTAAACAGCCAACAACAAATCAGGCAACAAAGTGCTGCACAAATAAACCCACAAATATTGCAGGATAATCCGAAACAGTCTTGCACAAGCAGTTTTACCACGTGCAAGTCTTTGTTTCATCAGCCCTTTATCCAAAACATGTTCTGTAACTGCCTATGGTGCCCTTAATTTTCTCACACGTGTGTGCTCATATGTATAAACATAACCTATCCAATTAAGAGGTATATATTCCTATTTTTCTTCAGCAAACATCTGTTTGGCATCCACTCCAGTTTATATTATAAATACGGTGCTGCATAAGAGGTTTTCTCAATATGTCTGTAGGCTTGCTCCTATGGATCAGATTTCTATTCTGTCTGGCCAAATCTGGCTAGTCGTGTAGTCTTCTGGAGTCTATTCGACACTTCAGGGTTAACAGTTCAAAGTTTAAGGGTTCACAAGTTTTAAGGTTCAAAGGTTTATTCCAATTAATTCCACGTTAGTCACCCCTGACTCTGCCCATATACACACTAGCTCACGTCTGACCGTAGTTCCTGAGCCGTGTGACCTTCACACAATGTTACGGGGGTGTTCCGCAACGCCATTGATATGGCGTGTCGTATATTTTTAGCAAGCCAGCACTTTTAACACTCCAAAAGCATGGAGAAACTGTGTCTAACATAACCCCCTAGAGAGTGCTGCAACCTATGTCACAGATATTCTCTTTCTCGGAATAAAAATGTAAATGCATGACATCAGAGAAACCAAACAACAGAGCGGGAAAGTCGACCAGCCCAACAAACATGTGAATGAAAAGTGACCTTCTCTGTTTGGGGAAACAAACGTCAAACAAACTAAGATTCCTATGTTAGAGTTCACAAGTTTTGAGGTTCAAAGTTAAGGGTTCAAAAGTTTAAGGTTCCAAATTAGGGTTCAAAGTTAAGGGTTCAAACGTTTTAAGGTTCCAAGTTAGGGCTAAACAGTTTTTAGGTTCTAAGTTAAGGGTTCAAAAGTTAAGGTTCAAAGTTAAGGTTTCAACAGTTTTAAGGTTCAAAGTTTAAGGGTTCAACATTTGTAAGGATCAAAGTTAAGGATCAAAGTTAGTCTTGGCAGATTCTCTGACTGCCTGCTCAGTAAAAGCTGCTCTGCCTGGTATTATTTTGGGTGTACAGACCCTGATCAGCCGGCCAATGCATTGTCTGTCAATGTGCTACTGTTGTTGTCAAATATTAAGCTAACAACACTGGCATAAATGAAATGATGTCAGAGGGTAAGAATCAAATAATGCAAGGAAGGAGAAGTGTAAGAATGAAATGATGTCAGGAAACAGAGATGTAAGAATGAAATGATGCCAGGAAGGACAGATGTAAGAATGGAATAATGCAAGGAAGGAGAGATGTAAGAATGAAATAATGCAAGGAAGGAGAGATGTAAGAATGAAATAATGCAAGGAAGGAGAGATGTAAGAATGAAATAATGCAAGGAAGGAGAGATGTAAGAATGAAATAATGCAAGGAAGGAGATGTAAGAATGAAATGATGCAAGGACGGAGAGATGTAAGAATGACATGATGTAAAGAAGGAGATGTAAGTATGAAACAATGCAAGGAAGGAGAGATGTAAGAATGAAATAAAGCAAGGAGGGAGGTGTAAAATGAAAAAATGTCAGGAAGGAGATATTGGTATGACACAATACAAAGAAGGACAGATGTAACAATGAATTAATGCAAGGAAGGAGATGCAAGTATGAAACAATGTAAGGAAGGAGAGATGTAAGAATGAAATAATGCAAGGAAGGAAGAAGAGATGCAATGATACAGGAAAACAGAGATGTGAGAATTAAATAATAACGAGGAGAGATGTCAAAAAAAATGAAATAAAGTACAGAAAGAGAATTAGCACAATAAGTTTGCTTCACTTCCTGTGAAACTTTACTAGTCACCCTACAAATGTTTCTAAACGCTTGCTTCTAGGCCCTATAGTCTTGGGTTCGTAACCACAACGGTGTGGTGTTTAATAAACAACCTAGGTAGACCTAGTCTAAAACTGGTAACAGAAATATCGTGGAAAGTAAAGGCGGCAGATGTGATACTGACCACAAGTGCCGATCAGTCTATATCAGTGGTTGGCAAACTCTTTAGTCGAAAGAGCCAAAAATTAGCAGCAGGGCGATTTTGAGAGCCAAATTTCTTTTCAAGTACCATGTTTTTCGGAGTTAAAACCGATTTGTGGCCGACTGGCCCAACAACCACACTCGGGTCGCTATAGAGCCACCTGCGGCTCGCGAGCCGTGATTTGCCGACCACTGGTCTATATGGCCTACTTTCGTATCACAAACGCTGCAACGACACAATGATGGCGCTTTAGTTTAATTTAAGCCCTTCACAATGCAGTTCGTAAACCTCACCCATTGCCGCCAATAAAACCGCCATCAAATAAGCAGTTTACAGCGAATAAAACCGTATCTGCAGCCCCCAATTCTAGTAACAACAAAATAAATAATTAATAAAGCAGTCTGCTCCATTCTCTTTGAGATTAATCTCGGCAAATACATTGACTGCTGGGTTGAAGTAAACGCACAAAGGGGGATCAGAAAGGGGGATCAGAAAGGAGCAGGGTGAAGGGGGACTACCGAAGCAATCAGCCAGGTACACAGAACGCTGGATCACACTGACTGACTGCAGGAAAAATCGTCAACTGCCACCGCAACCACCAGCGCCACCACACTAGATCGCACTGCAAAC